TTTTATACAAGAGAATCATGAAATATTGCCTTGAAATAGGCTCATCAAAAATTCTTTCAAGACATGGCTGTACAACTTATCTACTAGAGGCACATGACATCTTAACAGAACCACTATTTCAAAATTATGCCTTTGATAAAGTAGTGCCTTTGATAAAGTAGTGCCTGGTGCTGCACTACTTTATCAAAGCCTACAGGTAAAACTTTATTTTTATATGATGGTTTTGCTTGTTAAATTTTGATTTATGAATAAACTAATTCAAATTCATTTTTTTTTCTATAAAAATTTCTAAATATTATTTGTTAAGTCAGGTGTATGGTCTTCATGATCACTCTGCTACTGGTAAAATTTAACCCAGTGAAGCCTGTTCCATGCCCGTGTCCTGCTGCCTTGTGGGATTCCTTTTCTATGTAAAGGATAGAAGAAGTGTACTTTCTGTCATCAATACTATTTAATATTTGTCATGCCTATAGTAATATATATTTTTTCAATTATTTTTTCATGTGCGTATCATTAATATAGTTGGATGCTTTAGTTACTGTGTTAGTAACTGAGGCATCTCCAACAACTGCTCCATTCACACTGAATTAAACCACCCACCTTGAGTAATTAGCAAGCAGATTCTTCTTTTCATTAATGAAAGACAATCACAAAAGTTTTCAGATTAAAAAAAAAGTCATTAAAATCTCATTAAAACTAGAATATGAAGAATCACTTTAACAAATTGGTTTTAAAAACTTCAACTTAAATTACAAACCAAAAAACTTATAAATGTAGGTTAGTGTTATTTTTTTCTTACCATTTTTCAGTTTTTTGTGAACAAAAATTTTTAGCACGAGAAAATTTTCTTGATACTGCAATTTGCAATCCTTTAATTTAACCCTTGATTTATATTTACTTATTTATATTTACTTATTTATATATTTATACATTTACATTATCAGTTTTCTCCATTTGACCAGATCTTCCCCACACGCTCACAAAAATTTTGGCAAGCGCTAAAAAAATGGCTTGCCAAAAAATAATGTCTTTTTTTAATTGCAGTAAATCTTTTTATGTTCATTATATACTTTTCCAAAAAATCATGATTTACACATTTATGTATGAATTATTGTATTTCGAATTTAAATAAAACATTTGATTTGACATTTTTATTTTAATTATCTTATTTAGAATTTAAATAAAATATTTGTTTTGCTGTTTTTTATAAAAACTAAAAAATTTAAAAAAAAAATACTATATATCATTTTTTTTAAATTTTATATAACTTTTTTACAAATTTTATATAAAAAAATTTTTTTTTTCACCGGATAAGGATAACAATACTGTATGTGAGAGCACATGCATTAACATTGAAACAGTTTCAGATTTTTGGAATCATTTGCCGATAACCACTAAGACCAAAGAGTGGTGGAGTTACACAAAAAGTTAAAAAAAAAAGCATTTGTTGAATGCCTAGGAAAAACATTTGACATTTTACATGCTCAGTATGGGATTATAATACAAAATCCATAAGATAAAGTATTTCTTTATGCTCAGCTAGGAGAGGGTCGTGGTAGAAGTTCAATGGTGCAAGTTGACAATAAGTTGGCAACCAAGGTACAAAGAAAAAAAGAGTACTTGCAAGTTGCAAAGAATATCATCTTAAAAATAAATCACTAAGTAGGATATGTTCCTTATTGAAGAGTGTTCAAAATGTTCCTTATGGAAGAGAATTCAAAAAAACTTTCCAGTCATCACGAGATTGACTCTCCTTCTGCAAACATGACACAGCAAATTCCAAAACATTTTTCATTATCACATTGTTGTTGAAAATTGTTGTTGTTGCAAGTACTGCTGCAACTTGTGTTGCAACTTGTTTACTTGTTGCGTATTGATGATATTCTTTGCAACTTATAAGTAAACTGCAACTTGTATACTGAGTGCAACTCAGTATACTAAATAAGCTGCAACTTGTATACTGATGATATTCTTTGCAACTTGCAAGTACTATTGCAACTTGTTGCAACTGATGATATATTTTGGCTGAGGTTGTTTAGATTGTCAGACTCAAATTAATCTTTGGAATAAAATCCTAAAAAAATAATATTTTTAACTCAAAGCTCAAATCTTAAACATTAATATATATATATATATATATATATATATATATATATATATATATATATATATATATATATATATATATATATATATATATATTATATTATATTAAATGGTATTTTGTATGAGTAAATAAAATACAAAAACTCTTGTACGTATAAAAGTGCTCAATAATAAACAAATAGGAATATTTATTTAATAGAGCATTATATATATATATATATATATATATATATATATATATATATATATATATATATATATATATATATATATATATATATATATATATATATATCATTGGCAATCATTTGCCATGTAATACAAAATCAAGAAATAAAAAAACCGTTAAAATATAAAGTTACAATGAAGTGTGCTCCGTAGTCATAACAACAAAAAAAAGAAAGCAAAAAGAAAAAAAGAAAAAACTATAAACGACTGCCTAATCACCCGAATTGAACTTTGAAAGAAGAAATTAGCTTTTATGTCTACATTTAAAAACTAATTAATTCCTCTTATTTAATAAGTTGTCATTGGTGTAAGATATTATGAGATATTATGACTTTTCATTTCCATCAAGTGTCAAGGTACAAAGTGGCTTGATACACTATGTTATTTACAAGGCAGTTTTGATTAAAAGGTATATATATATATATATATATATATATATATATATATATATATATATATATATATATATATATATATATATACATATATATATATATATATATATATATATATATATATATATATATATATATATATATATATATATATATATATATATATATATATATATATATATACATATATATACAGTATTGGACAAAACATTTGCAACCAACATCGAACAATGCCAAAAAGTGTTCCAAATTTTACATGTCTTAAAAAACGAAACGAACTAAACTACCACAGCAAACAGTTCAGGAGTCTGGAGTCATAGCATGCCATGACATTAGCAATCAGCTGACAGGTGACAGCACACAGACAGAATTTCATTGAATAATGCCATTTTGCAGCGGACAAAACAAGTGCAACTATTTTAGTTTGCTTCATTTTCTTAAGTCTGGTCCGTGTCAACGTCACAAAAGTTTTTTAATAATTAAAGGAAGCATCCAGAAGCTTCCAGAAGCATCAAAAAGAAGCATCTAGAATCTTCCAGAACAGGTTCACACAGGTTCATTTTACTAAATAAGAGACATGTAAACCAACATGTAATTCAGTCAGTATATGGAAGTCAATCAGTCAGTATTATCAAGACAGTTTATCAAAGTGAGTTTTATCAAAGTGTTTTATCAAAGAACATCAATACAAGAAGTGAAATACAACAAGTGATTCATAGGATCAATACAGTCCACATCCAACCAAGACGTTATGTTCCACAGAGCATTATTGTATCACCACAAGGTAAATGTAACACGGTGAGCCTTGAGAAGCGTGATTATTTATTTTTATTATTTTTATGACTTCAAGTGCAAATGGCTCCCGACAGTCCTGGATTAGAACTAAGAAAGGAGATTATTGGCGATTACGTAAGTGGAATATCACAAAAAAGTATTTGTGACAAACATCGCGTGAAAAAATGGACCGTATCAAGACTATGTTCCAAATATCGTTTTACAGGGAAGTTGGCAGCAGATAAAAAAGGTGAAAGACCGCCTTCCACAACTTCTAGAGAGGATTCTATGATGGTCAAATCAGTCAAGAAGGATCCCTTGATTGTTGATTAAAGACAACAATCCGAAATACACTGCAAAAGTAGTCAAACAGTAGTTTCAAGACAACCATCTATCGGTGATGGATTGGCCGCCTCAATCTCCAGATCTCAACCCTATCGAGAACCTGTGGGAGATCGTCAACTGCATAAATAATTGTGAAGTTGTTCATAATAAGGATCAAATGTTTGAACAAATCCAAAAGGCCTGGGCAGCGATTCCACAAAGCTTCATTGATCACCTGACCAGATCTATGCCTCGAAGATGCAAGGCTGTGACAACAAAGGATTCGCTACAAAATATTGATAGCAAAATACAGCTTGGTCAACATTTTGTGGAGTTGCACTTGTTTTGTCCAGAAGGAAATCAACTTTTTTTAATACTTATGATTAATTAATTTTTGTGTACAAATAATGAAGTTTGTGATGAATAAAACGTTATCTCTAAACAGTTACATAGTTATTTCTCTAAACTGAAAAAATGCAGCACTTTTATATAAAGAAACTAAATTAGCATTATTTGGTTGCACTTGTTTTGTCCGATACTGTGTGTGTATGTGTATATATATATATATATATATATATATATATATATATATATATATATATATATATATATATATATATATATATATATATATATATATATATATATGTATATATATATATACATATATATATGTATATATATATATATTATATATATATATATATATATATATATATATATATATATATATATATATATATATATGTATATATATATATATATATATATATATAAATATATATATATATAAATATATATATATATATATATATATATATATATATATATATATATATATATATATATATATATATATATATATATATATATATATATATATATATATATATATATATATATATATATATATGTATGCATTAATACACACACATACATATACTGATGAAGATATATAGCAAACATGCAAATAATAGCAAAAAAATAAAAAGCACTGAAAAAAATTAATGTTTTTTGCAAAAATTTAAAAGAATGTTTCTTAAACACTATATATATTTACTATGTAAATTTATATATACACATTAAGACACATTACATGATTAATTGATCATGTTATATTCTAAACAAATGTGTTGCATAGATAGGCTAAAATTTAAATACAAAACAACTCACTTTTAAGTATTGTAATGTTATTGGTTCCACTAAATTTGACATGATTAAAGCCTTTGAACTAATTTCATCACTATATGCTATTACACGATTCACCTCTTGATTGGTACCCAAAATAGAAAGTGTTATGCTACTAAGAGCTTTGCACGGTGGTATCAAGAAATCTGTTAGCAAAACAGGAGACTGGAAATCCAAAACAACATAATGCCATGAACTTAAATGCATCTTTTCAACAACCATACATTTTGGTAAAGGTAGCTAAAATGAAAATACACTAATTACTAATATATATATATATATATATATATATATATATATTTATATATATATATATATATATATATATATATATATATATATATATATATATATATATATATATATACATATATACACACACACATATATATATATATATATATATATATATATATATATATTCACCTTCCCAAGGCCAAAAAGGCCATTACAGACGAAGAGGCTACTTAATTGTGATTATAACCATTACGTTATAACCATAATATATATGTTACGTTTTACTTACTTTGTAAGTTAAACGTAAGCTATATTATTCTTATTTTTATTTTTTTTAAAGATCTTTGCTTCCAACAAGGCTGAAAGCAACAAATAATAAGAGTTGGAAGATTGTAGAGCAAGATAACGATTGACAGACGATTTAAAAGATTACAAATTATATGAATCAGGAAAGCAAGATGAAAGAAGCGAACTTTTATAGATAACACAAGAGACACTAGCTCATAAAAGCAGTGCCTATTATAGTATTTGTAGAAAAGAGAAAGAGAAGCAACATTACGACGATGTGACAAAGGTTGAAGGTTGACTGCAAGAGCAAGTCATTCTATGTTAACAGTGCGTTTTTGCACCTTGTCTAAAAGAGAAAGAGCATCATTAGAAGATCGGCCCCCTGATATGGCAACAGTATTCCATACAAGGCCAGATTTAAGAATTATAGACATAGAAAATAGAATCCTGGATATAAAAAAAGTGTTGAACTCGATATACAGAAGCAACCTTAGCAGATGCTAATTTTGAAACAGATTCAATATATAGTTAGCAAGAAAGGAAGTAAGAGTTAATCCTAGAAGATGAAGGGTAGATGACTCATTAAGTACATTACTGTTCATAAATAAAGGAAGGTCTAAATTATTGCGATAACCATTGGCTGAAAAAAATTGACTTTTATCTGAATTAAAGTTCACCAGCCACTGTGAGCCCCATGATGTAGCAGAAGTGAGATCCTTTTCAAGCTCAAATGCCCCCTCCAAGCAATCAGAAAGTGTTGGCTTCTTATAATGACAAGAATAAATGGTAAAATCATCAGCAAACAATGCCACTTTAGATGTGAGAATAATTGGAAGATCATTAATGTAAATTAGGAAGAGTATAGGGCCAAGGACTGAAACTTGAGGAACCCCTGAGGTTACAGAATAAGAAGAAGAGTGCTGCCCATCAAGGACAACTTTCATACTACGATTAAAAATCATAAACATCTTAAAGATGTTTCCAGATACACCATAAGAAGAAAGCTTATGGAGAGAGCAGCATGCCAAAATTTATCAAATGCTTTAAAAATGTCAAGAGCGATCGCCTTAACCTCTCCACCTTTATCTAATGCGCGATAAAACCTTTCAGTTATTACTGTTAGCAAATCAGCCGTAGAACGAGAAGATCAAAATCCATTTTGATGATCAGAAAGTAAGTTGTTAGATTCAAGATTCAAGATTAAGTGTTTGTTAATTAAAGATTCAAAAACTTTGCTTATGATAGGAAGAAGAATTTTTAAAAATAGGGATAACAGATGCTGCTTTCCAGCAGGCTGGAAAACAAGACTCTGATAAACACTTGTTGAATAGTTTTGAAAGTATAGACGACAGCTCTGGAGAACACTTCTGCAAGACTATAACAGGTATGTTGTCCGGGCCACAAGCTATAGAAGAGTCTATGCAGGAAATCCACTTTAGATACAGAAGCTGGAGTGATACGAATGTCAAGCAATGGATCAACCTATTTGACTGTTATATTAGGTAGAACGCAACTAGTGTAATCAAGAGATGATATTGATGAAAAGTTCTTAGCAAACAATTTAGCTTTGTCTTTAGGTGAGGTGACAAAGTCTGAACCATACAAAAGAGGTGGAATTACAGACTTGCCCTTATTATTGATACTATTAAAGATTCTCCAGAAGTCACAAGAGTCTAATTTATGTGATGAAATACAAGATTTCATGACCAAAGAATAGCGGGCTTTGGCGTTAGACAAAACCTTTTTACAATGGATTCTAGCAGTAATAAACAGACATCTGTTTTCTGGGAAAAACTTTTTTTGGTCAATATGATCAGAAATAACATTAAGAAGAGTGCAATCTTGAGATGAAGGAGACCAATATAGAACAACGAGAAATGTACTAGAGTGAAGTGGTGCTAAACGAAAGCACATAAAAGAGTAGTTTGTGGATTCAAACCTAATTTCTCAACAAATGGGTGAATTCTTACAAATGTAAATGCCCAGGCCAAGCATGTGACTATTGGAGTCTTAACAAATTAAAGGAAGATAACCATCAACACTAAGATCACAAGATGAGACAGCTGAACTCAAATTAGTCTCACAAAGAGCAAGTAGGTCTGGTGAACTTTGCAAGAGATAAGACTCAGCATAAAAAAAGTTACTTTGAAGGCCACAAATATTAGTGAATGATAGGTTTAGAGAACTTGGTGATGACAATGGTTATTTGTGTTTTATAGTTTTTAGTACTGTATTCATTTTTAAATTTTTTTAAGAACTTGACTCAAAGCATAGATAGTACTCAGTACACTGTTTAATAGCCCAAGCAATTGCATCATTGCTATTAATAAACCCTTAGTCATAACAAAGGGCTCCAAATGTAGTCTTGTCAATGCACATCAAAAATACAAACAGGGACACCATCCATGTGCAGAATAGCACTGTTAATACTTTGATATTTTTCAGCTGTTGATGGAATCAGCCTCTCTGAGAGCTACCACAGAGTTTGGGAAACCTGACTACCAGTCGATCTCAGAACCATAAAACTGAGTTTTAGAGCTGTACCCTCATTTGGAGATAATAGAATGAGTTGCCTAGTCATAAAAACAGAAAAACCCATGTATTAAGTCAAGAAGATTTAGCATTCATTATCCTAAACTGGAAACAATGTATTAAAAATACATCTGCGCCAGCCTAATAAATGGATCTGTTTACCCCTTAAGTCTTTGGTTAGTAGGCCTTCTACAAAACAGTAGCTGGATGCATTTAACATCTGTCCAAGATGAGTATTTTTATCGAGACACCATCTCTAGCTTTTAATCAACCAAGACCCTCAAGGCAAGGGGTGTTTTAAGTTGGCATCTCCTAGTCTTTGCCTAAAAAGGCGTATCCTACAAGGCAGCAGGACATGAAGCAGATTGTACTGGGTTACATGTTCCCAGTAGCAGGATAACCTGACCTGACTTTCTCAAAGAACAATTATTTCATGTTTATTTAACATAAACTTTGAAGTAGCATATTCAAAACCATTACCTGTTTATGGGCACTTCTGGGTAATACTTCAGGCATTTCTCTGATGTGTTTGGGCAGTATTTGTGATGGGCATTGTGAAAGGATTTCTTTTCACATATATTATGAGGGGTGACTCTATTATAATAAGGGGCAAATATAGTCAACATGCAGGTATACCAGTAGTGTAGAGACTGGTTACCTGCTACATAAGAACCATAGTGCTAATAGGGACAAGGGCTCCTAAATAATCATTGATTTTTTGTTTAACTTTTTTGTTGAGCAGAAATAGGTTAGTGACCATAATGAAACTTTGGCAGGGGGGAGGAGAGGGCAGAATTTCTTGATACACCACTGGTTGCTACCCATGCACCCAAACCTTGACTAAGTCCCTGTTTGTTAGAGCGTGCTTATTCTACATTTTTTCTTTTAGTATTTGTCTTTTTAATCTAACTTTTTATTATGGTAATATGACACAGAATAACATGTTTGATATCTGCAGGGGCATCGACTGCTAAAACAGTTTTAAGCTATAAGTCATTTAAACTATCTGATATAATCTTTCTGATAAAAGAAGTGTCTAAAAAAAGATGGTAAAAAAAGCCAGTCAATTAATGGTCAATTCGGTTTGACTTCACAAGTTTGTTGGTTGTCGATTGTCCTGGAATCTTGCAATTGATTTTTCACTACCTTCCAGACTAGGTAGAGCTCTGAAACTTTCAGCATTTGTGTAAATATGATAAACATGCATGCTAAAATTGTTTTCAGAGTCAATTCAAAAAATTGGAAGTCCAATTTTTTGAATTTTTGTTTTTTGATTTTAGTTTAACTTTCAGACTTGTTAGAACTCTGGCAGCATTTGTGTAGCCCTGATGAACATGCATGTTAAATTTGTCACCTGGGCAAGGGGGGCCATGCCTTAACTTTTTTTCTAAAAATATTTTTTTTTTTAATTATAAGTTGGTTTACAATTTTTTAGAAAGACTTTTTTCAGATTAGCTTTGAAAAGGCATTTTTTTGATTTACTAGTTTTATAATTGATTTTTTTTTTTTTTTTGTCGGGAGGAAATTGGTTAGTGGTCCTGATAAAAGTTTACAGTTAGGTTACCGGGCTGGAAGCATTTGGGCAAAACTATTGTCTGGAATGAACTAATTTCAAACTAAATTCAATCTTTTCTAAACAACAATTATTTAAGTTATTCATTTCCAGAAATAACTTTTATTTTGGTTAGATTAATTTTTAACAACAACAATGCTGAATAAAAGAAGCAAAATTACAAAACTTAGAATAAAATTGCAAAATGCAGCGCCATTTCCAAAGCAAGAACAATAAACCAGAAATAATTTTAAATTAAATTAAAAATTAAATTTTCACACTTTTAAATAACTGATGTAAATAACATCAAGATTAATTTTTTTTTTTTTTTTTTTCAACAAAAAAGGTAAAAAGGTAAAAGGTAAAAAAAATTAATAACTTTTGATAACCACAACAGTGGCTTAGTTAATGCATTTAATATAGTAGGGTGGTTCAAGAAAATACACTTTTTAATTTTTTTAATTATATGGTCAATTATGAAGAAAAGTGTTCTTTATAATAAAATAACATAATTTTTTTTTTTTTTTTCAGTAAATTTTTGTTTAAAAAATGCAAGCCACAATATTTAGCAACCATATTCCAATCACATATTTAAATTTAGGCCACTAGCAAACTTTTTGTTTTTGTTTGAGAATTTATCTTTACGAAACCACATAGAGCAAACTCCAAACATTCATATGTTCATGTTTATGTAAAATAAAAGCTTTGCAAAAATATTGCAATAATTAAAGTCTGTGCATAATAGACCCATAAAATATTTACCTCCCTCCCATGCCTTTAGCGTAAGAGCAATGAGTTTATAACATTTATATATACATATTTTTTAACATTTTAAACTAAATATAATTTTATTGTCAAGTCTCTAATGTCATCCAATAATGTCTTAGTGTTCAAAAATAATGACCAAATAAATTTTGAACAACCTCCCTAATTATTTAGGGGATTTAAAATAATATCTTTAATGAAGTTTTAAAGAATGAAGTTTCAAAATAATATCTTTAATGAAGTTCCTCTGACAATCAAATTCTGTTCCTTATTCAAAAGTTTGGAATATAACCCTTTTTACGTAAATAAGTAATTAAATGAGCAGACATCAGCGTTCGAATTTGTTGAAGAATAACGAAGAAAATTGAGTTTTTATAAGTGATTTTAGTCTATAAGGTAATTTGTAATTTTTAAACAATATTTTCAAATTAATTTTTTTTTCAAAATTAAAAGTTTCGTGTCTGTTTTTCAATTAAAGTTTTAAAACTTTTAGAAATATACTTGAAAAATTAATATATAAGTATCTGTAATTCCCAACTCTCCTGTTTTAGTATCTTATTTTAGAAAAAGAAAGGAGTTTTCTAAAATAACAAACTAAAACAGGAGAAATATTGAATAACAGAAATTTTGAATAATTTTATTTTTTAAACATAAAAATAACGATGTTATAAAAACTATAATTCATGAAAATATAAATTAAGCCAAATACACAATTTAATTTTAAATTGATTTAAATACGAGTAGTATTGCGTGGTATTTCACCACGCCAAAAGCACCACGTAAAAAAAGTTTTATAATTTGAACTAACTATAAAACTTTTTTTTTATATTGTTACACTAAACTAATTAAAACAACTTAATCAACAGCCTCTTAACTAATAGTATAGTTACGTATAAATGAGTTTTTCTGAAAACCTTTTAATGTGTTGTTAAAAACTATATTAAACTATATTATAGACTTTTTGGATAACCAATAATATAATGATGTCTGCTTGCTTAAATTTTTAGATGCAATATCAATGTAATTATGAAAAAGCAAATGATTTTGGTTGAAATAATTACTAACAGCGATTTAACTGTCATGTATAGAACAAACCAATACAAAACAATTTGTATATAATATTACAATGAAATTGAACCTGGGTACATTAAATCTAAAATAGTGTAAGAAAATAAAAATAATAAAAATTAGAAAATAAAAATAATAAAAATTAAATCCTTGCCCTCACATTTGGAGTAGGGATGGAAAATATTTTAGGGTAATTTTGCTACCAGGCTCCAATCAATTTTAATTTCTTAATCCACGTATAAATTATGTATATTACACAGTGGCATAGCAAATATTTTTGGCCAGTAGGCATTCGTGGCTATGGTGTTAATTTCTGTTTCTCTGGAATAATGACTTTACTTTAAAAAAAAAAAAACTCTTTAAATATATCATGGGGCTCTTACACCTTGCGGCCCTGGGCCCAGTTGATTAAGGGACCATTTGCTTTTATTGGCCTTGCGGTAGTTAATCCACTGGTACTACATGCAGATAAAGATATTTAAATAAATATTTCATTCCCATATAAAATACTGTATAGTTCTTTAAACCAGTGCCGGATTAAGACTTGCAAGGTCAGGATATTTAAAGTCAGTTTAAGGGTCATGATATATTTTTGAGCAGTTGAGCATTTTTCTCATTAAAATGGCAAAAAAAAACTTAAAAAATATGTTTCTCATTAAAATGGAAAAAAATGTCTACTTGAAAAATACAATTTTATTTGTAAATTTAATTTACATTTGGCAGCATTTTATTTTATGTAATTCATTTTTATTTGCAAGTTTTTTTTACAACTATGGTAATATAATTTTTTTTAAATAAGTTATTTTTATATGAAAATGTAAATTACATTTTGAGGAACTATTATATTATGCAATGTAATTTTAAAAAATAAATAACCTTTACATGTAAAAGTAAACAGCTTTTTCCTATGATTACTTTTTACATGTAAAAATAAATTACTTTTTGATGTAATCTTCTTTATATTACTTTAATATTATTAGTAAATTTTTAACTTGACTAATGTAATTTTCCAGGACATTTCAAAACATTCCAGGACACATGCAAAAATCTAGGACATTCCAGGACTGTGGCCACCATGTATATGTATATGTATATGTATATGTATATATATATATATATATATATATATATATATATATATATATATATATATATATATATATATATATATATATATATATATATATATATATTGACAATTTTAAAAATGTATTATACAAAATAGAGTGCTCAATGTTCTTAAAAGAACAGAGCAATTATAAATTAGTAGAAAATCACTTACCAAAAATTTTTTTTCATTTTACACTGTGTTTCATCAACAAAGACTCATCAGAAATGATAAGTCTTTGTTGATGAAACACAGTGTAAAATGAAAAAAAATTTTTGGTAAGTGATTTTCTACTAATTTATTTATATATATATATATATATATATATATATATATATATATATATATATATATATATATATATATATATATATATATATATATATATATGTGTATATGTATATGTATATATATATATATATATATATATATATGTATATATATATATGTGTATATATATATATATATATGTATATATATATATATATATATATATATATATATACATATATATACATATATATATATATACATATATATATATATATATACATATATATATATATATATATATATATATATATATATATATACATATACATATACATATACACATACACAGACACACACATTATATATGTGTGTGCATATATATGTATATCAACCCTTGGATTTAGGAAAAATGAGCAATAATTTGCCAACCTCAATCTTTTAGAGGTCGGCAAAAAAAGTTGATACAAAGGTTATACCATAAAACATAGAAATGCGGTCGACAATTTTTTGGGAGTGTTGCTACATAGATGGTCTATGTATCAACACTCCCTTGTAGCAGCAAGCTATAAGATGATGTAGGAAAATCCACGCATGTTTTACAATAAAAAAATAAAAATAAAAGCATTCAGAACGTTTTTATTTTTAAAGTATGCAAGATATTTGTTTTAAAAGTACAAGTAATAAAAAATAATGACATAAAATCTAATATTTTTAAAATTAATTTAATTATATTGAAAAAAATTTCATACATAGGAGTTATCTTCAGCATTCTCAATTCCAGAATTTATTAAGAAAGTCTTTTGATCAACATTTGAAATTTCTGGATTTGAAATCCCAAAATATGAACTGTCATCATTCTCTTGCAGCAGCTCTGATGGTTTTTCAAGATCAGTTTGATTTACAAGTTGTGGAATCCCCTTAAAAAAAAAAAGTTCCCACTATCAATATATATATATATATATATATATATATATATATATATATATATATATATATATATATATATATATATATATATATATATATATATATATATATATATATAGTTCTTTTAAATATTTTTATTCATTCAATCGTGTTCTTTCAGATATTTTTATCTATTCAATGTTTTTATGGATATTTTCATTCATTCAATCATGTATTTTTGAATAATTTTATTCATTCAATCATGTATTTTTGAATATTTTTATAAATTCAATCATGTTCTTTTGGATATTTTTATTCATTTAATTGTGTTCCTTTGGATATTTTTATTCATTTAATCTTAATTTTTTAATCTTAATCATTAATATATATATATATATATATATATATATATATATATATATATATATATATATATATATATATATATATATATATATTGAATATTTTCATTCATGCAAACATGTTCTTTTGGATATTTCCAGTGGTTAACTAGTAGTTGTTAGTTGCTTTCTAAGTCATAATAAGAGGATAACTACAGTTAACTCATTAAAGGTTTCACAGTTTTGGGTAACCTATGTTCGTTGTTGAGCATGTCATAAAGGAAGTTTTTAATATCAGCAGAGGTTTATTAGCAATATTTATCTGTTTTTAAATTTTGTTTCTACTTTGCATAGCATGGCATTCAAATTGGAGAGGAGGCTAATATTACTACTTTAACTTAATTTTAATTTTCAAAAAAAAAAAAAAAAAATACCTGAACTGCAGACCATGTTTGGTTCACTTTAGAAACATTGTATTTAGAGTTAAGCAGCTGAACTTTAGAGCCCTCACTTGCATCTGAGCAAACAAATCTTAGAGGTTGGGTTTCTAATATACCTAAATATTTTAATTTACAAATGAAATAACAAATAATAATGGTTCAGTAACACAATGAAAATTATAATACAATTGGGCAAAAATATCTTAAATAAATATGTAGAAATATGTTTAGCTTGCTCAAACAAAAATGTTTAAAAATAGAATCAATTTAGAGTTCATTGATTTGCTTACTTATTTATTTGAATTTTATTGATTTTTTGATGCTAGTATGATGACATTTAGTATGATAACATTTAGTATGATGACTTTTAGTATGATGACATTTAATATGATGACATTCAGTATGATGACATTTAAAAGACATTTTGAGGTCTGTTTGAAGACTTTAAATAGTGTGGTAGAAATCAAACCTTTTTATTTTTCTTTTAAATGAAAAAATATTTTTTCTTATTTATAAGGAGTTCCTGTAAAGCTTTTGCTTATAACTTTTTGACACATACTTTTAAATTTCTTTTGTTGAGTTTTTTTTTTTAATTTTGAGTGTTACAAGTTTCTTTATACAACTTTATAAAAAAAATAAAGCTTAAAATTTTAAAGCAAAAATACAAATAAATATAAATAAATAAAACAGTTGTTATTAACTAGAGGTATTAAGGTGTAAACAAAGAACATTTTCAAACCTTGAACATAAAATGCTGTTAAAAACATTATTTCCACTGTTAAATAATATTTTAAGTTCTCTTTAAAAAAATAAACATAAAAACCTGCCTGGAACATTATTTGATGAGATTCGAATAGTTTCAAAAAGAGTTGTATCACCAGTCTTATAAGATGCACCAATATGCAGCTGTAAATAATGCGGCTCTGTTAATAATGGTTCAGTAACCATTTCTGATAAACCATAACTAGATAAAGGCATATTTTATCAGTAATAACAATAATTTATTAATAATAGTATAATAATAGTAGTTATAATTTATTATTTTTATTATTAACAGTAACGAGAATAACTTGGTATCATTTTTTTTCAAAAAATTGTTCTTATTACTGTTTTAAACATTTTAGCGTCAAAAGATTTGAAACTCCATACGTAGTCATTACAAATAATAATAATAACAATAGAGATAATTAAAGATTAGTTTAAAAAAAGAGTTTTTTCTACCTATACCCACACTGAATATTACACTGTGGTGTAACTAGGGTGATTCTAAGGACAATTAGGGTGGGTAGTTTTGTAGTAATATTTTATGTCAAGATAAAATTCATTTGAAAAACAATTAAATCAATTTACTTAAACCATATTTTATTAAATAAATAGATTTGTATAGTTAACATGTTTGATAACATTTTCTGAAAATTAAAATCATCCAGGTATAAAAAAAATTAACATACAATGCATCCAGATATTTTTGAGTTTCTGTAACTTTCTGGCTGTAGATTTTACCAGTTGTTATCAACATATTTTTAAAATGAAGAAGCATTTCTCTGTTGTTTAATTCAGAACTTTCCATAATTTTACAAAACAGCAAAAAAGTCCAGTGAATGGCAGCAGAAGAAAAAGCATTATGAATATTAAGAGAAAGCTTTCTCAGCTCACAAGATAAGTCCACAATAAACGTAGAATTTGAGGAACATCTAAATGAAAATATATGATTAAATTAAAAATGAAAAAATGAGAATTAAATACTATAAATAATTATACTTAGACCAAAGACCAAATATGTGTTTTAATGCGCTGTATATTCTAGAAATGTTGATTAAAAGATTAGTTATTGTATTTTATTTAGTTACTGTATTAGTTATTACATGCTATAAAGTAAATTCTAGATAACTTGAACCTAACAAAGGAACAAAGAAAAACGGTTTGATTAAACAAGTGTTTGACTTAAGCAAGTAAAATTGTTCTTGCTTTCGAGGGACTATATATAAACAGTTTGCAATAACAAAAATTTGAGTTAAAATGTAAGAAGTTGAGGGAAGGCTAGACTATCTGAAATTCTAAAATAGTCTATTTATCTAAAATACCATAATTACCATTTTTTAAATCAGGTATTTCAAATTTTTACTGTTTTTTAAGTTTTTTGCAGTAATATTAGAATTAATATTCTGGTTGAAACTTGGGTAAAATATTTTAAATAAATTGCTAAATTGCTAAAACAGATAAAATATCTGAGTTTTAATCTAAAGCCACTATTTTTTTTAAACTCAAAGTTTACTACAAGATGTAACTCTTTTAAAGGAGATCTTTTCAAAAAAATATACATGATATGGACATCATTCAATTAACTAGAGCATTACACTCTGAGTGTGGAAAAATATCATTGCTAGTTTTGTCTCTTATTACAAAAAGTAGATTTATAAATGGCAAATAAACTCATTACGCAATGCAATATCATTTAAAAACAAGCTTTACTCCACAGCAAATAAATATGTTTTAAAAACATCCTTTTTACATAGTCAATACTCCACAACAATTAAATGCATTTTAATAGCACCCCATTACATAGCCATTTGCTCTGGTAAAATTCTGCCACTGATTTGAATAGCTAATGACTTTTAGATGTGATATCAAGTTAATATACAAAAAATACTAATTATAACAAATAAACCACACTTCCTCTTGAATAACAGCAATTGTCATGATTTGGTTTTATTATAAAAAATGCACCAAGCTACTATATTGCTAAATCCCTAAGCATGTCTTTATTTTTAATTCATCTAAATTGTCAAGTCAATGATCCTTTACATTTGATAAACTTATGAAATGACAGTGAAAACAATATTCTTATAATAATTCCCCACCCCTCCCACCCCCATAATATGTAAGAACACATAGCCAAAACCTAAATGTAACCACTAACAATCCAGTAAGATTAACACACAGATGTTGCCATACAACAACTTGGCACAGTTCTCTTGCAAACATCAACAACTTAAGCAACTAATTATAGCATTAAGTAAAATTAATGCCCAAGTAATGTGGCATTAAAAACACATTTTATTATATTTTATTAAGACATCAAATTTCAAAATTTTTCATTTCCTTCTAGCAAAATCACTTCTATTTTCTCTAATGTCAGTGATCAACTAAAACATGTTATCACACATAAATTAAATAAAACTTCTCTAACAACTGACTACTTTGCAATTTCTACAATGTCAACAATAAAAATGAAAAATAATGTAAAACATAGTCTTCCAAGAAGAAGAAAAAAAAATCAAAAATCATTAAATATCAAATTTGGTCCCGGTCCCAGCTATAAATAAGACTTTTAACAAACCCTGCCACGCCCCCTGCAAAATTATAAGATTTAGTAATGGTTGATTGCTGAGGCTAAGAAAAAATTAATCTTTATTTAACTAAAATTAAAACTTTGATATAAAGATTATAAAGCTTACCTGATTAAACCAAGCAATATACAAAAACAACTATAGCAGACAGCTCTATCTCCAAACATCATACTTGCTTTTAAAAACTGCCAAAGTTTCTTATGCACAATTGAAATAAGCGGCAAACTAAAAAAAAAAAACGTTAGAATAAGATTAGCTATGACTGTGGCAATAACAAATAAACAAAAAAATATATAACAACATTGTTAGTAATAATAATAACAAGAAGCCCAAAAAAAATTATTATTATTTTGTTTACACATATAAGCTGAAGTTGAATCAAAAGTACACTACATAACAGTACACTACATAAAAGTACACTACATAACAGTACATGGATAAAATTAAAATGGAAAAACACAAAATACTGTTGTACAAACACTTTAATTAAATAAAATAAATAAATCTCATGTTAACATACCTGCTTTTTGCAAAACAATTTAAATGAATGTTAACAATCACTGATAAAATTTTAAGTATCATTTTGAGATCTTTGCCAGGTAGCATTGAACAATTAGCGCTTACTAACTCCAAGTATTGGTCTAACAAATTGCTTTGAAAATTAGCATCACTTATTAAAATTTGACGACACCCAGTATAATAAAAAGGATGATCTGAAATTTGCTGAAATTTGTGCACACCAACAAAAACATCTTTCAAAGCACTTGAAATGGAAAAATTGGGTAGCAATGATTTACAACTAACTAATTTAACCACAAGTTTACCGCTTTGATACTGTAAAAGGTTTGGGGAGGTCACTGTAAATTTTCCTGACAACTTAGAGTCATTTACAACATCAGAGAATAACATGGGGCTGCATAGAAGTATTTCTTGGCTTTTATCAATGGTTTGGTGGCCTTCATACAATGCATCAAAATAAAATGAACACGAAAAATCTTCTTTATTTTTTAATGGTGTTTTCATGTTAACAACTACATCAAAATAGCCAATTGCTGTATTGACAGAAACACAGATTTCAAATGTAAAACTTGTCTTGTTTAACTCGCCACTAAAGAATATTAAAACAAACTTAATATACTTTTATCAATTAAAATAATAAAATCTCTATAAATTTGTACAACTTACATAAACACATATTAAAAATATTTGCATCAATGTACAACATTAAAAAAATCAATTATGTATAAATTAAGTAAAAATTACTCTGTTTCTTTTAATAACTGAGAATCCATCTCAACAGGAGAAAGATGCATCATGCAAGGTAACACCGGAGGAGATGATAGCAACTTTTTACCAGAATTTACACACCAATTCATTGGATAAACAATATTACAGCCTTGCATGACTGGCTCAAATTTAATTAAGTCACACAATAGTTGTAACTCATTGGTACAGAAATGATTTGGCCATCGATTAGAAACTAAAAATATTTTGTTAAATAATATTTAAAACTTAATAGTTAAAGCGTAATACAATAAAGTACACAATACAATAGTACAATAAGCGTAATACAATAATTAATAGTTAAAGCGTAATACAATAAAGTATAAATTTTTTTAATTTTAATTTTAGTAAAAGTAAACTTATTCTTGTGATATTATAAAGTATAGGATGATAGTAATAAAAATGATTACATATTTATATAGATATGTTTACAGGGCTCAATAAATCTGCATTAAGCATACAATTGACACGAAAATGAATATCAAGTTTGCTGACATTTCTTTATTTACATGACTTAAATACAGTATTCAGTAAGGATATTTTTTTATATATTTATATACAAAATATATATATTTTTATATATTTATCTTAAGCACTTGCAATATAAGTATGATAAAAAAAGTATATGTCTTTTTTAATTGCAATTAATTAATTTTGTTTTTATGTTAACTTAAATATAAATGAATTCTTAACTAATATTTAAAATTAAATTAATTAAATTTTATAAAAGTAAGAGTCCAAATTGTGTCATTAGATATGAATTGTTTGCATATATATATACATATATGTATGTTTATTAAAAGCAAGTAAGCTTGAATAATAAACTACTTTAAATTAAATTATTAAAAGTGTTGCTAAGTAAGTTAAATAAATTAATAAATAAATAAATAAATAAATATATATATATATATATATATATATATATATATATATATATATATATATATATACATATATATATATACATATATATATATATATATATATATATATATATATATATATATATATATATATATATATATATATACACTTATATTAATGTTACTTAGCAACAATTTTAATAATTTAATTACGCAGTATTTATCAAAAGCAAGACTACTATACAATACATATATAATAAAAACATCCAATGCCTCTGATAGTACCATGCTCAACTTTTTGCATAGCAGCCTTGTTAAAGGTTCATGTTTATTGTAGTTTTAACCGAAAATATTTGAACAGCTATATTTTTGTTTTAAAAAACTTTTTTGAAATTTGCTTTTTCTTCTTCAAAAAAAAGTAATTCTAACTAAAAGATGTATTTCTAAAAAAAGTAAAAGATTGTATTTTGATAAGTTGAACTTCTATGTTCATCCTGTTACTGTACTCCTACGATCATCTTATGTTATTGTTCTCCTAGGTTACTGAGCTCCTATGTTCACTTACTGTGCTTCTATGTTCATCCTATATTACTTTAATATTTCTAATAAATAAAACATTAGGAAACTTTGTTTTTAAAAAAAAGAAAACAATAATTTAATAAAATAAAAAAATAAAAAACGCTAAAAATAAACAAACTAACTTGAACTATTTTGAGCATGAACTTCTTCATTTTGTTCTGATGTCCATTGATGCAAAGAAAAACTTCCATTTTCATCACAAATAGCTATTGCAGATAAAGCAGAACAGTATGCTAACCTATGAATAGCAAAACTATTTGGCAAATTACTCTGTAATGGCAGCTTTTCTAAATCAGGAACTGACAAAAACGTTACAGAATTATTAGATAATGCAACAATAAGTACAGATAAAATTTTAGTAAAATTGGAATATATATTTTTAAAGATGTTCATCGGCAGTTGTAAAGGTGAAACACTGATAATATCATTAACTTCTGATTCTTGAAATGAATGAAATGCCACCTTTTTTAAAATAGTTTTAAATGAGTCGAACACTACAGAAATTATAAATATACTACTTTGAGGCTTCTCATCAGATTTCTCGTTTACCATAACTACTAAATAGTCATCTATGACAAGCAATTTTGAGATAACACCAGATTTATTAATGTTTTCACACAAATCAAACTTTTGAAAAGCACAATCTTTGTATACTGATTTATTATCCTCTGTTTTTAATATTTCTTCTTGATCAAACCCTGTTTTAATTTCATTAGCATCCATGGCAATGTTTTGAGTTCCACCATTGGTTATTCCTAAATGTTTGGAAGCTATTAAGTATTCGTCAATTATAGACAGCTGCGTAGTGTCACCATTTTCATAAATTCCAAAATCTTCATTCAAACCAAACCATGATGGTGTTGAATCTGAATCAAAGACTGTATTATTTAAAGGCATAGGAACTTGCATAAATGGCTGATATGGTTTTACAAAACTTTCAGAATTCTCTTCTTGACCATTTTCATTTGAAACTTTACTTTCAATTTTGTAGGTAAGAAGGGAAAGCTTGTGTTTTTCACTAAGTTTATGTTTGCTATATTTTACTGAGTCAATTTTCACACCTGCTACAATAAACTTTTGAGATGTCCTTGCATCTTTCATGATTGCAACACTTGTTATTTTAAATGACCTTTTAGTCCCATGAGATTTTGATTTCATCTTACTAGTATTTCTTTTGGATGAATCATAATATGATAATGGTTCAACAAAATCTAAATGATTTGAACTCTTTTTAAACAAATCTCCTAAAGTATTGTTGCATTTATTATTTTTTTGTTCATCATTGTCTTGTTTACTGTCTTGTTTACTAATATCTTGATTGTCAATATCTTGCTTAATATTGTTTTGATTATCATTGTCTTGTTGACTATTCTCTTTTTTATTACTGACTTGATTAGCATTGTCTTTTATACAAATGTCTTGATTGTCAATATCTTGTTTAACATTATTTCGATTATCGTTGTCTTGTTGACTATCCTCTTTTTTATTACTGACTTGATTAGCATTGTCTTGTTTATTACTAACTTGATTAGTATTGTCTTGTTTATCACTATATTGATTATTAGGTGTGAGAGAAAAGCCTGAAACTTGAGAATCTTTGAACTCTTTTAAAATTTCCAATTTTTCACAGCTGTGTAAAATGTTGTACGAATCTCCCACAAAATTTTCATTTGTTTGATCTAAAACAGGCATAGCACCTGATAGACTTTTAATATCCTCAAGAACTATGGCTGCTTCAGATCCAAGTTTATTGTTAAAACTTTCTGACTGATTTTTTTTTAAAATCTCTGTTTGCAATCCTCCAGATAACTTATTTTGGGTTTCAATATCAAAAAAAGAACTCTCATTATTTACAATCTTTGGGAAACTTTTATGGCTGCCTTTTGTTGAAGTAACAGATATTTGGTATTCAGAATGAATCTAAAAGAAAAAAAAAAAATTAAAAACTTAACTCTATATTGTTACATGATCATTGTTAAGATATATATATATATATATATATATATATATATATATATATATATATATATATATATATATATATATATATATATATATATACATGTATATATATATAATAAGTTTATTAACAGCATAAGTTTATTAACAGCAAAGTTTATTAATAATAATAAGTTTATTAACAGCAAAGCTGCAAACAACCACTAAATCATGTTAGGAGTACACAATAGAGATAATAAGCAAGCCGACAGATGACCGATGATTTAAAAAACTGAAAATTGTAAGGAAAACATAAAGATGAGTGTTTGGAAGAAAATTGAATTAGCATAAAAGAAAAACAACATTCCGATACCACGATCGATATAACCAGTAAATAGCGCCTATATGGCTATAACGAACTAAATAACAATTATGTGGCGACTATTTGAACAATAGTGTTTTTTTGTTATTGAACAAAATTTTTGTATAAATAGAGTTTTGTTGTTGTTGTTTTTGAGATACAAAAATAAAAAGAATATAAGTAATATAGTTAATGTAAAAACGGTTAAGATCTTAAAAATATAAGTTATAATACATATTCGGTATTATTTGTGATCGCCATCGGATCAATGAGAACCCTTAGTATTGATATTTGAATAGATTGTCACAATTATCAGATGAATAACACAGCAAACAGCAATCATTTTTTAATATTTTGACCAGTTGAGCTTATTTAAGTATGTCTTGAATATTGCGATTTAATAAAGTGATTTGTTACAATTTTTTGTTAAAAGCTTCTTAATATATTTTTTTATTTTTTAACAAAACTTGTTCTAAAAAATAAAAAAACTTGAATTATTTTCAAGTCGTTGAAAGTTTTCAACAAAATATAAAACATCTTGAACAAGTTTCTGATAGCATAGCCATATAACTATACCAACTGTGACTATATGGAAATGACCTATACTTAAGGATGAACCTACAATACGGAATGACCCTTAGACTAAACTAATACGAAAGCTACAAATCTTCTTTGTAAGTTATGAAATAAGAATGTATATATTAAAAGTGATTTTTCATATTTATTTTACTATTGTGCAGACTGAGGGCTGGCAGTACTTATAATAGGATGGAGTAAAAATAACTTTTTTTAGAAATTCAATTATTTTCCCTTAATTCTAAATTAATTATTACTTTTTATTGATACAAATTTTTACATTAAAAAAAATATTTTTAAAAGCTTAACATCTTTGTATTATTCATAAGTATTATGAACAAAGTAACCACAGTGACCAACATAAATAACCACAATAACCACAGTGACCAACATAACTTATGAACTTAGAAAACTAAACTTAACATTTTATGATAAAAACTTGTTTTTTGAATATTATAACTGTAAAGTCTTATCACTATATTTCGTACTATGATTTCTATATAATAAAATTGTTAAAACTATGTATGTTTCTATGTACAACTTAATACTTTACTAATACTATACGAAAACTTTGCTAATTACATTTCAATAAATAAAATGCTAAGATCTAAAACAGATCAGCTATTCTAAGGCTATTCGCAGAAGTATAACTTATGTGAGATTAGATGTCATGTGGCAAATGCTGTATTTGAAAGGAAATACAAGTAAGCTATACTACTTATATACTATACTATCTATTTATACCATATACTATATACTATATCCTATCTATATAATATACTATCATTTCTCAAATAATAATACAATTAAATATAATTCATAATTTTACAGAAACTTCCTGGAAAAATCAACAAAAAAATAGACAGCTTTAACTGTAATGCTGGTCTTAAACATTTGGGTAAAACGCAACATACTAACTGTATCATCAATGACATCCTTAACAAATAGACCTTTTTAAGCAAAAAACCTAGACTGCTGACATTGAAAAAAAAAACTGAACAAGCAAACTGTTTAATATATCTGCCTGCCAAATCAAAGATCTAAGGAATATTATAATAATAAAGATCTAAAGAAATCATTTTATCTTTGGCTGTGGCAAAGTTAATATGATACCAGATATGGATCATACTTTCCTGGAAGATTAGAGTGAACCTAAAATGGGCATTTGATCAAAAGACAAAAGATGATCAATAGACAAAGATGCAAAACTGCAGAATATCCAAAGCAAACAGAGCGCCATCTTTAAAACAGATGCAATTGTCTTTTTAACAGCTGTATCATCACCTATATTTAAGAATATTGGCATTACTGCACACAATGACAAAACACAAGTTATTTACCTTGATAAGGTAAATAACTTGTGTTTTGCATGATAAGGCATGAGTATATGAAAGCCAGGGAAAACCTGAAAACAGGGTTGAAAAAAAAAACATTTTTTTGGAAAAAAAAAAAAAAAAAAACATGGTTTTTTTAGTTGAAACTCCTTTTTTAAGAAAAAGCATTTTACTTGAGTAAATTGTATTTTCTATCAACATTACTGGTTTTTTAATTCATCAACCAATACATAATTATTTAATGTTCTGTATATAAAAACAAGCTTTGTGGCTTTTTCTACTCCCATCTTGTTTCTTAACTTGGAATAAAAAAGTCTAATAGTCAAAATTATTCTTTCAATTCCAGCACTAGAAACTGGTGTGTTTAACAAACCTTCAGTATCCATGATAATGTTGCAACACTAGAAACCGATGTGCTTAACAAACCTTCAATATCTATGATAATGTTGCAGCACTAGAAACTGGTGTGTTTAACAAACCTTCAATATCTATGATAATGTTGCAGTACTAGAAACTGATGTGTTTAACAAACCTTCAATATCCATGATAATGTTGCAGCACTAGAAACTGGTGTGTTTAACTAACCTTCAATATCCATGATAATGTTACAGCACTAGAAACTGATGTGTTTAACAAACCTACAATATCTAATTGTTTATTAAAAAAGTTACTTAAATTTTATTATACACGTTTGAAAGAAAAAATTTAAAAATGGAAAAACTTGAATATCAAGCATAAATTAAAACCTGTGCTCTACTTGGAGTTTCAGCATAAGCTATAACCAATAAATTGGTTTTAGTTTATTGTGACGAAGCTCCAAAATATAGTACAGTTGCTAAGTGGGCTACTTTATTTAAAGATGGTAGAGAGAGTCTTGAAGATTATTCTTGCTAGGGCACCCTCAAACCACGTATACAACTGAGAATATTGAACGTGTGTGAGCCATTATTGAAGAAAATCTGCATGTAACACATGATGTAATTAAAACCCTGACATCAATTAATTGTTTTACAATCTATGAAATCATTCACAATGCACTTAAAAAAAAAGAAAACTAACATCACTTTGGATACCCTATGAGTTAACCAATCAAAATTAAAAGAATAGAGTTAAGGCATTTAAGGATAATTTAGCCTTTTTCAGAAACACCCCATGGAGGCTATCTGATATTAATACAGGAGGTGAGTTGTGGTTTTATTTGAGACAAGTTGGACACAAGTCAGCTAACGCTAGTTGGGTCGGTGAAAATGAAAGTCCAAGAACTATAGTATAATGCAATAGGTTTCAGCCAAAAAGCGTGTTCTACATCTTCTTTAAAACAACAGGTGTTGTTCATTTAGGTTGTGTTGAAAAGGGAGACACCATTACTAGCGAATATTATATAAAAATTGTTTGAAACCTCTTATATAAATAAATAAACAAAGACCTAAAACAGGCGCTCACAATTTCAAATTTCTCCATGATAATGTTTGACCCCATGTAATTCAAACCGTCACAAATTGTCTAAATCTGGGATTACAGTAATTCTCTTGGAATGCTGGAATTACAATAATTCTCCACCCACCATACTCACCAGACTTAGCTCCATCTGATTATTGGCTGTTTGACTTGATAAAAAAAAATCTTGATGATGATACTGACATTGTAAGCCAAAAAACCCGCATAATGAAGCTACTTGAAAGTATACCCAAACAAGAGTATAAAAAAACGTTTCACAAATGGCTTGAAAGGATGCAACTTTGTATAGATAATGACGGACATTATTTTGAACATTTAATAAAATAAAATTAAAAAAAACTTTTTTTTTTTTTTTTAAATAGGGGAGTTCTATGAACTTTCCTAATGACCTAAGTACATTTTTTTAAACAGATTCACTATACAAATAGTATTTATCAAATGAGCAGATTTAGCTTTCAACTTTAATATTATTTGTAACAAGTTCTTAAATTCTTTATGTGTAAAGGTCATTGCAACTTCATTACAGTCTGAAGATATCTACTTTCCGATATTTTTTATAGTTTATAAAAATGATAACATGTTTATCAGCTCTTTAAAAATTTCAACAGTGCCACTTATTTTTGTTTGATCTCTTTGCAATTTATATATAGCAACTTCAATTGGTTTTAATATTTTTAATAAATATTTTGCATTTCACTTTATCTCTATGTTACTGACTTTTCTATTGATTATAGGATTTAAGTCTATATTTTTTTCAAACATTGTGAAAATGATGTTCATATTATTCAAGTGAATCACACCCAGCTTTCAGTATGAAGTAGTAATTTTGTTTCTCCACTTTCTCTATAATTTGCTGTAGCTGGATAATTATTTTGTATATATTTTATTATCTGTGTAATATGCTTGCTTACATTTTCAATGATCATTTGCTAAAAGATTTAGTATAAGAGCAGCACACCCATGAGTTATTATTATATCTCCTTCAGAATTATTATATCTCTTTCAGAGAATTATTATATATATCCTTCAGAAAACAATACTTGTTGCATTGATTTCATATTAGCTGCATTGCCTGTCACAAAGATGTTTAATGTGCATCCAAATTTATGTATTACAGATTTGTTAAATGACAATAAAAAATGCAACAATAAATTTTTTCATTTGACATTAAAAAAAAAAAAAAAAATTTCACAAAATGAACGTTTACAAAATAACACTTCTAGATTTGTTTTTATTAAGTAGTAAATTAATAAAAACAAATCTAGAATTGTTTTGCAGTAATTTATTTTAAATAAATAAAATAAAAAAATAAAGATAATTAAATGACCTCAAAACCACGAAGAGCTAATGTGTTAAGTTGCTTTTATTTTAAACAAAAACCAGGATGAGCTAATGTGGTAAGCTGCTTTCATTTTAAACAAAAACCTGGAATAGCTAATATCTTAATCATTGACTAAAATTAAATTAATAAAAAAATTAAATAGTAAATACGCAAATTAAATGCTTATGTTTTGATTCAAATAGTTATTGTTTAGATAATATATTATATTATATATAGAAAATAACTATTTGAATATATACACAATATATTATATTATTTATAGACATATTTTATTATATTATATATAGATATATACAATATATTATTATATATAGACAATAACTGTTTGAATAGAAGACATTAGTGTTTAATAGGCGTAATTACTATGATTTTAATTTTGCAAATACTACGCTATCAGGGGCTATTCTAGACTGTTTTCAACAGTGTCAACTGTATTTGGACGCCACCCCATTCAGACCTTTTTTTTTTTTTTTTTTTTACATTTTATATAGCAAATATTGTTTTTGTTGCGAAAAAATGCAAATTTTCTGCAATATTTCTGCTAAATTTCTCCAGGACTGTTAGTACTACAGCCCAAATGTTTTTCCTAGGCTATTTGTAAATATTGATCAAAAATTATTCCTATTATGAACATTTAATAACTAAAATTAAAATTACCTAAATATAGTTACTATAGTTACTAAATGTTTAAAATAGTTTAACCCATGGTAGTCACAAAGTTTTTCCCATAAACTGTTGTTTTAAAGAGCGCGTTAATAAGCCTGACCAGAAAATGTTAAAAAACTTCAAAAAAAAGCGAGTCAGGCTATTTGTCAGTCGATGTAGCAGCACTCCCTTGCGAGTCAGGCTATAAGATAGTCGATGTAGCAACACTCCCTTGTAGCAGCAGGCTATAAGATAGTCGATGTAGCAATACTTATGCATGTTTTAAAAATGTTTTTTTAATAAAACAAAAACAAAAACACCACTAATTAAAAAAAACTTTCTAGTCATTATTATTGTGGTTTTTTTTAAAAAACAATAAAATTTAATGTACTTCCGCATTAATTTAATTGCTTTGACATTTCGACGACAATAAAATGCAGCTTAAGAGACGAGGTAAAAAAATTGTAGTCGAAAGTGACTTTTTTTTACCATAAAAGTCTCTTTCGACTAAACTATAAGGATATATATATATATATATATATATATATATATATATATATATATATATATATATATATCAAATTCTAAAAAACAAATAGGCCAAATAAATAACATACTGTAAATTTAATATAAATAAGAAAATAATTTTAAGAAACATCTTTATGATTTTAGCATCTTTATTATTTAAATAAGTGCATTCACATTTACATAAAAGTATTTACATGAAAGATATAATTCTATTTGTGAACACAACCCTGGTTTACTTTCCTTCTGAAAATTTAAATTTGTTTAAAAAAAATAGTTTGGTTTAAATTGATATTTTGCAATTGGTTTAAACCATTTGGTTAAACCCTGCCTGAAAAATGATGAACTTCAAGTAAAGGTATTGTATTTTGAAAAAATACTGGACAGACTATTTTGCAATTAATAAGAGAACCATAGTGATGGAAGAGCACTTATCTTTAATTCAGAAACCTGGAGAAGGTTATTTGGGATACTACATTCTTCTTAGTGGCACTGCTGAAGCATTAAAATATGCAACTTTTCAGTATTCCAAAGAACACAATATAATTTTTGAAAACATGTAAGTACTGGACTGTGATAAAACTAATGCAAACACTGGAAAGAAAAGTGGTGTTACTAGATTGTTTTAGTTAAAACTTTAAAGGCCTCTACAATAGTTAAGTTGATTACTAAATGAAAATGTATTTCTACTGCACCCTTTGTTTGAGGAGTTGAATGGACCAACATCTGGTCTAAGGCTCCATTGGAAAGTTCCTTAAAACTTGTGAGAACTTAAAGATTGCTGACAAAATTGTGATGCTCAACAAATCGGACAAATTTTTTTATAAAGACAAAATTTTAAAATATAATTGCTTATTGATGAATATATTGTGAATATATATATGACTGGCTACAATTATAATTAAATACATTAGTACTCTGTTAATTACCACAAAAAACTTTATATTTATATAAAGTAGATTTGTATACTTTTTTTGTCTAGAGTATCTTAAAAGAAAATAAATTTTTTTATAATTTTTTTTTTTTTTTTTTTTTTAATATTTTAAATTTATAAAAGTATACAAATAAACAATAATTATAATTTAAAAATAAAAAAATTTCAATTAGGAAAATCAAAACTTTAAATATTTTAAAGATCCTAGCAGACATTTAGTTTGACATTTCATTTCTGAATTTGTTTGAAGTACAAAAAGAAAAAATACTTTGAAAGAAGGATGCATCTCCCAAACAACAATATATCCTTCTTCTGTACCAACAGCAATAAGGTTGTCATAACAACATCCACTCACACATACAATCTACATAAAAACAAAAAAAAAGGTTAAATGATTATTTCTATATATCATTTTTTTTTTTTTTTTTTTTTGTTGCAACAATGAATGAAAAAAAAGGGAAATAATCTTTGTACAAAAACATGAAAGAACATACATTTGTAAAATATACAGACCAAAAAAACACACTTTAGATAAAAGGCAAAAAATTTAAAAACCATAAAACACTTTTTTTTTAAATAAGAGTACATACATAAGAGGTAAATGCTAAAGGGTTTTACACAATAGTACCTTTATAATACATTTTATATTTTTCATTTTACAAATATTTTTTTTTTGTTATAAATTTTAAATACTAATTTTACTTTAACAACTAACTTACAAATATTAAAATAAAACAGTATTAAAAATAACATTTTTAAATATTTAAAGTGATTTTAAAAGATTGAAATAGAAGAATTAACAACTAACCTTATCTGTTGTCCTTGACAGTTGCTTAGCACTTGATGTAGCAGCATAATCTAATAAAAATAAAATAATCTGATCATGCTTTACAACATGACAAATACATATAAATAATATATTTGATATCACATATATATATATATATGAATATATTATATGAATATATATCACATATATTACATATACAATATATATAATATATATATTCATGTATGATATATATGTATATATGCATGATATTACATATGACATATACACCATTAATTTTAACATAAATAATAAACATAAAAAAAACCATAGTTTTTTTATGTTTATTATTTATTATTTACCATACATAAAAAAACCATAGTTACCACCAAATTATTTCAATCTATCTTTTACAAACATTCATAGTTTTCAAAACTATTTTTCATCTATTAAATCTTAGTTCTCCCAAAATCCACCAGACTTGCTCTTTTTTAGAATAGTTTAAATTTTAATGTTTCTCTGTGAACATAAGTGTTGATGGCAATAATCAAATGACTTACAAAGACACATATGAATGAATCAAATGATTAGCAATTACTCTAATGGTCACATGCTTGGCCTATACATATACTCATGCATCAATTTGCCTATTTGTAACGAATCAAGTTCAAATTTTCTAACAGTTTATTTACGTGCTTTCAATGAGTAGAGTATTTTTTTGCTCAATCAACTCTCTCTTTGTTATTTATCATTCTTTGTCTTCCCAAGACTGCACTCTTTTTTAACTTAACTTCTGATCAAATGGATGGAGGTATTTCAAATATTGAGAACTTCAATATTTTCCATTATTAGTTGCTATAAAATTTAGTTACTTTTCTGTAAATTACGCTTCCCACTTTAGGGCATTCTTTTTAGAGAAATCTTATACAACAATACCAAGTAAGCTGTTAAACTATTTACAAACTTTTTTATTTAATATTTTGATTTTTATTTAATATTTTGACAAACTTTTTTATTTAATATTTTGATTTAAGTTTTCTGTTTACTTAAAAAAAGAAACAAAAAAGTTGTTAATGTCTTCGATCAGTAAAGATATAACTTTGTTGTTGATTTTCTGCTTTGGTATCATATTTATACATATTTTGAAGTTTTGTAGTCAGTTTTGCCACGTCAAAAGTCTCGTAAAGAGCAATTCTATGTGAAAATATCCAAGGCATGCAACCCTAAGACTCAAGTTTTGCTGAGTCTTAGGGTTTAGATGTTGTTCTGATTACTTTAGTTAGAGTTATTACAAAGAATTGGAGAGAAGTCTTTTCTTAAACAGAAAAAAAAAGTATTTTCTTAAACAGAAAAAAACAAGGTCAAATTTAATTAAATTTCTTACTTTGAAAAATAAGTTTTTTCTTTTCAATTTGTTTAATTGAAAGTAAAAAAAGGTGGTACCCTTAATTGCATAATACACTGCAATTGATGTTTAATACTTTTCAAAAAAAAAATTAATATTACTGATAATCATAGTTCTAACATTTATTTGCTAATACCATAACTATATAATATAATCTTAACAAAGTCATAAATTTATGATTGCATAGAACATGTAACAAATCTCCCTACTAAAAACAAACAGTTAAATTAGTAGCAGGTGAACTAAAAAGTTAGTCCCGAACCGAAGTCCTGAACAAAAGTTGTTTGATGCTAATCATTATAACAATAATGTCAATATCAAGACTCTTACTAGGTTTACTACTTTACATCTTGTCTTGGAACTCTTTTCCATCTTTATGTATTCCTGTATAATTTACAGTTTTAAAGTTTTCTGTCAACTGTTTTTTTGCTCATCTTTTCACTACTTCCTCCTAACTCTCAACTTAAACAGTGGGCAACCTTATTAAAACTAAATTTTTAAATAAATATATTTATATTAATAATAAAAATATTTTTCAATTATTACCTTGTAATGACACATTTTCTGTATAATCACCTTTTAAAAAAGGACAATCTGAACAATGACGCTTATGCTCAGACCTATAAAATAGTTTGTATATTTATAAACTTATATTACAAAATAAACTTTTACTTCATTAAAAACATTTTAACATCATGCCAACCTTAATATACAGAACTAAATGTATACATATATGTATATATATATATATATATATTTATATATATATATACAAATAGTATTGCATACTAAGGTAAGCAATCTGACATCATACTGAAATAGCCTGCTGCTGGGGGCTTCAGTACATACATCGACTGACACATAGCCTGACTCATAGAGGAGTGCTGCTACATCGACTGAGGGTTTAGGATGGGGCAGCAGTCGTTTCATTCATCATTCTTCGTTTTTTTTATTTGAAAAATGCTTATTAAAATGCAATTAATGATGCATTTTCTTTTTTCCTAAAAAAAACAAACAACTCTTAGTATAATAAAAAATGATTCAAACATTAAAAACATGTTTTAAACATTCAACTAAATTAAATTTGATATAAGATTGATTGTGAATAACAGAATAAACTTCTATTTATAAAACGTTTCTTTACAGTTTTGGCTTTTAACTTTTTTGCTTCTTGCAGTGAAACCTTTGTTAAGATTAACAAAGAGAAACGATTTAAAACAGATATCGACTATGACAAAAATGATGATCATTAATTAATTGAATTAATAAATTAATTAATTTAATTTTAAATAAACTGTTTCTTAAAGACGTATTTTAGTAGTCAGGCATTTAACTTCATTTTTCATCACCTGAGAAAAAATACCCCAAAAAAACTATTATACCGGGCTACTATTTTCATAGCAGACAACTCAAATAATTCAAACTGTTTCAGTCGCCCGAAGGACGATCGGGAAAAAACTGGAGGGTACACCACTGTGTATGTATATATATATATATATATATATATATATATATATATATACAGAGCCGGCGCGAGTAGGTGTCACGTGGGGGGGGGTGCCATTACATTTTGCCGACTTAAAAAAAAAAAAAAAAAAGTCCTTGTTTTCCAAAATTTGGAAAACGAGGACCTTTTAGGGTCGACATTTGCCGACTAACTAGTCTAAAAGGGTCCGATTTGCCGACTAAGGGTCCAATTTGCCGACTGAAAATCATTGATGGGGGGGGGGGGTAACACCCCCCACACCCCCCTATCGCACCGGCCTTGTATATATATATATATATATATATATATATATATATATATATATATATATATATATATATATAAAACGCTGCACCAAATTAACTTTAATAATAATTTAAGTTATTATTTTATCAACAATTTTATATTATTAATTTTGTAACTTTGTGTATATTAAAATAAATATTAATTTGTTTTTATTAAATTTTTTTTCTAATAGTTAATCAGTGCAAATAGAAACCAGCTACTTTTTTGCTTTAACGTTTTTAAGAATATAATTTATAACCTTATTAAACTTAAAAAAATATAATTTGATTTATTAAACCAAACTTTTTTGTTTCACTTTTTATTGGAGAACAATTTGAAAAAAACAAATTGAATGAAAACATCAATTTAAAAACCATTTGAATGAAAAACTTGATTATACTTAAACTTTTATAAGTCCTCTAGATCAAGAAACAATAAATTATAAAAAACGTAGTACCTAATTTTTTTTCTTTGATCTTACTCATTTGGTCTATAGATTATAGACTTGTATGGTCTATAGGCATGTTTTTGCGCAAATATTGAGTTATATGATGTCAATTTTTTAATTTATTAATTAGAACCATTTTATTTAATTGCTTCATTTTATTTTAAACACGTTTTATGTTATTAAGGTTATAAAATAGCAACAACACAGTGTCACAAAATTGTTTTACATTATCACAAGATATTTATTTCTTAAAACAACTTAGCAGTTTGTTTAGTTGTTATTTTATAACTTTTTACAATAACAATTAAATACTCTTTAAAAATAACACGGGTTTTATCGTCAGCATGAACGTATTAAATAGTTTTCTATAACTAATTAAAGTTGTTTACATATTGTAATGTTTGCTATTTACTCTTAGTTTTTTACTTTTACTTTTTTAAGTATCATGTTAAGTAAAAACAATTACTAAAAGTAATATTTTAATAGTGTTAAATACGTTACTTGCTCATTACACTTTAACTGCGACTTAAACTTTAAATTATAAATTAAGCTGTAATTTATAACAGTAACTTACTTATTTTAAAATACCTGCCAAACGACTAAACTATTAGATAATACTATAATATGAGAGATAATATGTTAAACAAATAACAATTATGTGCAAAAGATACTTTTTTGTTGTAACACAACCAAGTATGGGAATATCTAATTTTAATGAAATAAATAGTAATAAAAATAAAGTAATTTATATTTTCTTTCTATTTTTTAATATAATATTATTTAAATAATAATAGAGCAAAACAAAAATCTTTCATTATCGTCCGTGAAAGTAAAATCAATCTATGTTAAAGTAGGCCATTTATTAATTTTAAAATTCTGGGAAAAGCCTGCAAACAGTTTTATTGTACCTTTTGAGCAAAATACAAGAACAAAACTATTTAAAATGCCGAATCAAGCAAAAACTTATGATGACAACAAAAAAACTGTCTGTTTTCTCTGTTTGAAAAAAGCTAACAGGCAACTGGCTGACTATGATTAAATTCTTTTAAGAAGTTTTTAGTCAAGCTATCAACTTTGAAGATCAAAGAGTCCATTAGTATCTGTGAAAACTGTTGAGTAGGCCTTAGAAAAAGAGACCATGGTGAAGATGTTCAACTTCCTTACTGCCTGACTACCAAAACATGAAGATTCATCCAGCAACAATAGAATCACCATGTGATTGCATAATTTTTTATCTTGGAAAAGCCAAGTTTGAAAGTCCTGAGCCAATCAGAATAACAAACACAACCAGTCAGCGGAAGAAGAGCCAGTTGTTGAGAACCGCTATTCAGCATGCTTTTCACTTATTGGAAAAGGGATTTTACGTAACTGTACAAAAGGAATGCTTTGAAAAAACTTGCCTGAAGTTGTAGCAAAAGACATAAAAGCAGCTGTAGTAGCTGCTTTTGTTATAGCTAACAAGGTTCCTTCACCCCATGGCATTGTGGATCAAGGAATAGGAAGGCATCTTCCAGTTACTTCAGATAAAAAATATTTTCTTTTAGTAATATAGGTGGGAATTAATGGAGGATGGAGGGTTCCTAAAAGTGTCTCTAGGGGTTCTTTACTTAGAACCAAATGCTTGCCTCTGACTAAGAAACCTCTCTTTAAGGACTCTGGAGTGAAACATCAACTTCTGGTGGAAGTTGATGTTTCACTCAACTTCCACCAGAAAACCACTCTAAAAAATTATGACAAAGAAATGAAAATTATGTAAGATCATGGACAAATTGAGCCTTAAAAGATTACTTTTTGTGTTGTCATGTGACATGAAGCTTGGAAACATTATTTGTGAGTTGCAGTCTCACTCAAGTATTCCCCCTTGTAACTGGTGTGACATTGAGTCAAAGAATCTCTTTATCAGAGTGGTAAGCTCCAAACATTTGGCTCCACTAAAACTGATAATACAGGTTTCCAAGCAGCAGGTGCCTTTCATAATGTTTTGTATAAGTCAGTTATTAAGTTACCTGAAAGAATCTTGGATTTCATTCCACCCATGGAACTTCACTTGCTTCTTGGTGTTATTAACCACCTCTTCAAGAGTGTCTGCAGTGGAAAAATGTACCAGAGTGGCTAAAAGTGATGAACTTTAAACAAAAACCTTTTCAAAGAGGACGATTTGCAGGTAATGAGTGCAAAAAGCATTTTACGAAATGTTGACTTGCTTCATCAAATTGCAGAAAAGCATGCCTGTTTTTTAGCGTTTATATTCATTGACACATTCAGAATGTTTAATGCAGTTGTTCATACATCCATTGGAAATGTTCCTCAAGACAACTATCACATCTTAATTGAAGAATTCAAGGATTCCTACCTCAAGCTTCTAAAAACCAGTATCACTTCCGAGGCGCATGCTGTCTTTTTTTATGTAACACAGTTAATTGATCGCCACAACCACTTACTGGGCATCTATTAAAAGCAAACAATTGAATCACTTCATCATGACTTGAACCATCACTGGTAACGATTTAAAAGGCCCAGTAATTATCTGGACTACCCAAAGAATCTTTTAAACTGTTTGATTGAATAAAACAGCAAGCATTCCTTTTAACTTCCTTGTAGAGAATGCTGTATTGTAATATATGATATATAAGAAATTACCTCTCAACATCAATTTTTAAGAGCTATATTTAATAAGAGAATTTTTTCAAGTTGCTTGATCTATTAAGCTAGAATCTAAATTCTGAAAAAATATAATTAAATGTTTTTTTGTTTGTTGTTGTTTCTAAGTTGTAAGTACACTACTTACTTATAGAACAAATATGTTAGAACAAGATTCAAATGTTTTTCAATAGAAAATGTAACTCATTTGTTCAGAGCAATAAATTGAAAAATCAAATTAATTTTTTTTCTCATACAATGATGAAAGATTTCAAAACCAACTTAAATGTACTTCTACATACTTGTACTATTATATTTCCAAAGGTTTTTCCTGGGAAAAGAGGTTCGAATTAAAAGTCATTTTGTGACACAGTGGCGGTATATCAAAAAGTCATTACAATTATATTTAATATAACAATTAATACAATCACATTTATATAAATGTGATTTTATAAATGACATTTATATTTTGGGCTTCACAATTTAGTTTTGCTCAAGTTTCCTGAGCCAGCTTAGAGCAGCCCTGAAAAGTAAACAAAAAACTAGGTAATGGTTATAGTAGTACATACTATTGTTATTAAATGAACAAACAAAAATAAAAAATAAAAACAATTGAATGAAAAGATATAAAGATTTTAGGATTTTTACTTTACTAAATCAACTTTTAGTCAATTAGTAGGTCAAGTCCATTGTCTATTAAATAGACTATTCGATTAGAATTAATTAGACAAGTCCATTGTCTATTAAATAGACTATTCAATTTTTCAAAGTTGACTCATTTCGAATTTAAGCCGATTTAGTCAAAGTTGAATAACACTAATTTCTACACATTAAAATCTAAAATAACTATTTTTATATAAAATGACAATTTTTTTTTTCAATTTGAAAAAAAAAATTATTAATTTTATATAAAAAAGTTGAGGTAGCAGTACTCCGTTGCTTGACTTGCAACGGAGTGCTACTATCTCAACTGACTAATAGCTTGACTCGCAATAAAGTGCTAAAAAAAAAAATTTTCCTGCCTTAAAAATAAATAAAAATTTAAAGCTGATATTTTATGGTAAAAACTTAAAAATGACCATGGAAGAGTGTATATATATATATATATATATATATATATATATATATATATATATATATATATATATATATATATATATATATATATATATATATATGTATATATATATATATATATATATATATATATATATATATATATATATATATATATATATATATATATATATATATACAGTAGTACCAGATTAAAATACTTTTAAACAAATCAATTTTTTTTTTTATTAGGGACCAATTAAATGTTTTAAGGCCATGTGGTACCCCTGAAAATTTTTTTTTTTAAGCTAATGTATTTAGTTTAATTTTATTTTACTATATATGGCACATACAAATGACGTGAGAAGAAATTAAAAAAAAAAAAATACTGTTTTTAGCACCATTATTCTTTTTCATTTCATTATTTTTACCATTTTTTAAGTATCTTTAAAGTAAGAATAGAAGAAAAAGTTTGGGAGAATGGACAAGCTGTCCATGGAACTTCATCTGTCTATCTTTTTTTTTTTTACTGAAGTTACTGGAAAAGAAAAGATGAAGATTGTAGAGCGAGATAACAATTGACAGACAACTTAAAAGATTGTAAATTTTATAAATCAGGAAAGCAAGATGAAGGAAGCGAACTCCAAAGAACTGATGTTTGAGGAAAAAAAATGGATGAATAGAAGTTTTTGGAGCACTTAGGAACAGCCACAGAAAAAGGATGAGACTTAATTGAATGACAAGTAACACGAGAATGAATTTTTGTAAATAACACAAGAGACACTAGCTCTTTAGAGCAGTGCCCATTATAGTATTTGAAGAAAAGAGAAAGAGAAGCAACATTACAACGATGTGATAATGGTTGAAAATTGGCTGCAAGAGCAGGTCAAACTATGTTTACAATGCGTTTTTGCACCTTGTATAAAAGAGAAAGGGCATCATTAGAAGATATGCCCCATATATGGCAACAATATTCCATACAAGGCCGGATTTGAGATTTATAGATATAAAAATAGAATCCAGAGAAAGAAAGTGTCGAGCTTGATAAAGAGATGCAACTTTAGCAGATGCTAATTTTGAAACAGATTTAATATATGGTTTCCAAGAAAGATCGGAAGTAAGAGTTAATCCTAGAAGATGAAGGGTAGATGACTCATTGAGTAGATTACTGCTCATAAATATAGGAAGGTCTAAATGATTGCGATAACAATTGGCTGAAAAAATTGAGTTTTATCTGAATTAAAGTTCACCAGCCACTGTGAGCCCCAAAGTATCTGAATTAAATAGCCAATATCTGAATTAAAGTTCATACCCCACTGTGTAGCAGAAGTGAGATCCTTTTCAAGCTCAAATGCCCCCTCCAAGCAATCCGAGAGAGTTGGCTTCTTATAATGACAAGAATAAATGGTAATATTATCAGCGAACAATGTCACCTTAGATGTGAGAATATCTGGAAGATCGTTAATGTAAATTAAAAAGAGTATAGAGCCAAGGATTGAACCTTGAGGAACCCCTGAGGTTACAGAATAAGAAGAAGAGTGCTGTCCATCGAGGACAACTTTTATACTACGATTGGAAAGGAAGGACTCAATAATCTTAAAGATGTTTCCAGATATACCATAAGAAAAAAGCTTATGGAGAAGACCAGCATGCTAAACTTTATCAAACGCTTTAGAAATGTCAAGAGCGATGGCCTTAACCTCTCCACCTTTATCTAATGCATGATAAAACCTATCGGTTATTACTGCTAGCAAACTATCCGTAGAATAAGAAGATGGAAATCCATATTGATGATCAAAAAATTATTAGATTCAAGATGAGAGATAAGGTGTTTGTTAATTAAAGATTCAAAAACCTTGCTTATGATAGGAAGACTAATGGGACAGTAGTTAGACGAATCAGATTGCTCTCCAGAATTTTTAAAGGAGACTGCTATAGAAAAAAGAGAATGGGTGAATTCTTACGAATGTAAATGGCCAGGCCAAGCATGTGACTATTGAAGTCTTTACAAATTAAAGGAAGATAACCATCAATACTAAGATCACAAGATGAGACAGCTGAACTTAAATTAGTCTCACAAAGAGCAAATAGGTCTGGTGAACTTTGCAAGAGATAAGACTCAACAGAAGAAAAGTTACTTTGAAGACCACGAATATTAGTGAATGGTAGGTTTAGTGAACTTGGTGATAATTTTGTTACTTTATTCATTTTTAAATTTGTTAAAGAACTTGACTTGAAACATAGATAGTACTCAGTGCACTGTTTAATAGCCCAAGAAATTGCCTTATTACTATTAATAAACCCTAAGCCGTAACAAAGGGCTCTAATGTGGCCTTGGCAATGCACACCAAAAGTACAAACAGGGACACTATCCATGCGCAACATGGCACTTTTAGTACTTTGATATTTTTCAGCTGTTGATGGAATCAGCCTCTCTGAGAGCTACCACAGAGTTCAGGAAACCTGACTACCAGCTAGCCTCAGAACCATAAAACTGAGTTTTAGAGCTGTACCCTCATTAGGAGATAATAGAATGAGTTGCCTAGTCATAAAAACAGAGACACAAGCAAAACCCATGCATAGAGTCAAGAAGATTTAGCACTTAACATCCTAAACTGGAAACCATGTATTAATAATACATCTGTGCCAGCCGATTAGATGAAGAAGGGGTGCGAGGCTGGTCAACAGATAGAATCTGTTTACCCCTTAAATACAGATAGAATCTGTTTACCCCTTAATCTTTGAAAAAACTTTCATTCAAGCCAGCTTCTTAATTGATAGGAATGATGAGCATATTCCATGCCTTGTTGAAAGTACATACCACGTTTAATTGAGGCCCTAAGTAATCTTCAAGCCTTTGTAAAAATGGACTTGTGACAGAGACCATCAGAAAGTATGGAGCAATTAAAATGTGATTCAGCACCACATCAATCCAAAGAATCCAAGAATTTAATGAGGCCCAATAGCAACAATTATGACAGTTATCAATACAATTCAGCATGAATTGTCTGACAAAATAAATTTACTTAGCAAGTTTTGCCTAACACAGCTGTTACTTTATATTATTCTAGGAGTTGTATTCACTTATCACATTAATCCTGGAGTTGTATTCACTTTTTCTTGCTATACCTAGCTGTTCTATAATATTCTAACATAATAGTTTTTCTATTACATGAACAATTAATTCTTATTATTTTAACTGTTAATTTGGAAACAGTTTATTTGAACATAGCTATAAAAGTGAAGTTATAAAAGTAAGTGCTAAACTGGAAAAAGTAAAAACAATAAATTATTATATGCTGTTATACATACCATGGCTGATCTGAAGATTCCCAGTAAACCAAACTAACATTGCAAGTGAAACACATAGCACGATCTTCTGTAGCTTTAGAATCGATTTGCTAAATAAACGTAATTCATTAAAAAAAACTTTTAAAATTTTTAACAATTTGATTATTATCGTTACCATCATGATTAAACTTTTTCTTTTTTTTCTTTTTGAAAAGTATAAAAAAATTATTAACATATTAACAATATTATTAAAAAAAATATTAACATGCATTATTAAAGTTATTCTATTAATATAAAGATTTGTTAAATAATGATGTTAAATTATTTATTCATTGTATGTAACATTTTACTGTTTAACATATATTTGAATAATGAATTTAAAAAATATTTTTGAATAAAATTTAACCGGATGGTAAAATCCTGCTTCTGCCATTGGTCCAGGTAATGCCCATCTGAAAATTCAAAACCAAGAGTCAGAAAAAGGAGTTTAATATAATATTAGAACCAAAATAAAATGCTAAATAAAATTAAATTTAATAAAATTAAAAAAATAAATATATATTTAGCAAACTTACTTGTAATTCATGTGAGGCCATGATGTAAATGTTTTTAATCTGTCAATTTCATTAAACATCAAAAGCTTTTCGCTGCATACATTTTTGCAATTGTGTTTTTGCATTGAAGTCAAGCGCTGAAGGACATCACCAAGTACAGGCAATGCAGGGCCTCGTTTTTCTTGCTTTAGTAATAGTAACGCAGTATCGCAAACTTCAGTTATTAAAGAATGCTGGATTGTAAAACAAACCGTGAGCCACTTTTAAAAAAATATAAAAAATTTTATAAATACCATGTGTATTGTGTTGCTATAAAATAATTATTATATATTATATATATATATATATATATATATATATATATATATATATATATATATATATATATATATATATATAAATATATATATATATATATATATCTACTATAGCATATTTATATGCGCAATTGCTCACTTTTTTTGCTAGCCTAAATTAAGTGAGCGTTTTTAGAAAATGATGAGAAAATATTTTTTTTAATATTAAATAATTAAATACATTATTGCATTTTTAAAAATGTTTGATATTAATAAATTTCTTTCTTTTCTCAACACTTGCATAAATGAATTGAGATTATTAAATTTTTGAATTTTTAAAATGATTTTTTCTTAAATTTCTAATTGTGGCTTTGCAACTACAAATGATTTTTTATTTTAAAAAAATTAGCGAGTAACAAATTAAAAAATTAGGTTAATTTATTCACTTTATTTATTAAAAGTTTATTAGTTTATTATTTTATTATCAAAAGTATATTGCTGTATATATTGTTTATTAAAAAATAATCACTGCGATTTAACTTGCATTATATAAAAAAAAAGTTAAACTTAAGTTTTGTGCAACTTTTTGATGCAGCTGTTTATTTTAAACTTAATTTTGAGTAAAAAAAAAATGTTTAGGAAGGAAAATTGAAAAAACAATTGCGATAAAAATGAGCTTATTTTTTTTAAGAACAAATAAAATTTCAATATTGAATAATATTTAGAACATTTTTAAATAAATTTGACAGTCAAGTTAAACTCAAGCATTAACTTAAATTTTAATAAACATAATTACATTTTTTAAATTAAAATTAAATTATATATTTTTAAAATCTAAATTAAATTATATATTTTTTCATCAGAATAAAATTATACATTTTTATTAAATTTCAATATATATATATATATATATATATATATATATATATATATATATATATATATATATATATATATATATATATATATATATATATATATATAATAGTATGCGCAAAAATTATGCCTTAAAAACTGAAAAAAGTTGGCTTTTCTAAACTTTTGCATGGTACTAAATGTTTGTTTTTTAAAATTTAAGGCAAACCTCAATATTTGAACAAAAAGACGTGACAAAACTTAACATAACTTAAATAAGAATTTAACTTTTTGTATAAAAAATGATCACCTGAATTTTTATAGTTATACTTAAACAACAAAAAAAAAACTGGTTTTAAATAATTTTTGAGTTATTCTATCTCAACAAGATTATATGATGCAATATTAGAAAAATATTTTAAAACTTCAGTTCAATATCTTTAGGGAGACAGTGCTAACTTTTTTTTTATTTGTATACTTAGGGCAACCATTTATGCTAAAAATCAATATTAAAAGTTAATTTAAAGTTAAGCAACTTGTTAAAATATCACTTTTAAAAAAATACAATAAATTGCATTCGCTTTGCAGGCATCGCATAAAGAATGCTTAATAAAATTGAATAAACATTTAAAATATATTAAAAAACTTATTACTGTAGAAGTTTTATAAATAGACAACCATCAAAAAAAAAACTTATACTTTATCTTATAACGTATTTGTAGCCTTTTGAGTGTAATGCTTTTTTATTTTAAAAGGAGAATTAAAAAATAGCAATTAAGTAATAAAGAAAAAAGCAGAGGTAAACAAGACACAGAAAGCAGAGGGTAACAAGATACAGAAAACAGAGGTAAACAAGATACAAAAAGAAGAGGTAAACAAGACACAAAAAGAAGAGGTAAACAAGACACAAAAAGAAGAAGTAAACAAGACACAAAAAGAAGAGGTAAACAAGACACAGAAAGAAGAGATAAACAAGATACAGAAAGCAGAGGTAAACAAGATACAGAAAGCAAAGATAAACAAGATACAGAAAATAGAGTTAAACAAGACATAGAAAGAAGAGGTAAACAAAATACAGAAAGAAGAGGTGTATGCACAAAAAACACAATTTTTTATTTCTAATTTATAAAACTCATAATAATTTCATAATCATTGTTAGCAAGGTTGTAGTCACAAGTACTTCTAATTTAATGAATGGACGATAATTTGAAATATTATTTTTTCAAACAGAATTTAACACATTAATATCTTGGTTTCTTTCATAAATATGTAAACAGCTCATGTGGTGTTACAATCTAATGTGTAATTGTTTGTTTGTGTTGCTTTTTTTTTTATAATATCTCTAATTCCATTCCAAGGACTTTTGTTATATTTCTAAGAGATGATGCTCAACATTTATTTTGTAAACTTTCAGCTGATACAACATTTTTATTAGACATTTGTAATTTTTTGTGACGCATCACTGTCACTGAAATATTTTACTTTATCAATTGTAGATAGTTAGATTTGAACATAGGGAATAACTTTATGAGATAACAATAAAAAGCTGTTTGGTTATTGTGATGACGGTCAGAAATCATACAAATAGCATCCAACCTAGAGTTGATCTTATTCATTTTGTAATAAACAGCAAATGGATATAAGGAACTTACTCCCGTTTGCTATTAAACTATTTATTTGTAATAATATTTATCTAGTTTATTCATAATAAACAACGCTTTAACATATATTTTTATCAAATCTTTGTAATATATCAAACCACCTTTATGTAGAGCAACGCATATCAACTTAACGCTTTGAACATAAAAACATACACAAACCAAGTGGCTTCCACTATTGTCAACTCTAATGTATCACTTTGGCCTTAGTTCTCAGAACTTGCTGAATCCAACTTTGTGTTCAGGGTATAACTTTCTAAATTCCAGATGAAGTTTCTTTAAACAAACTAGTATTAGGCGTTTTTGCTTATGAATTTTTACATATCTAGAAATATAGGTTTTTTTATGGTGTAAACATATCACCTCATTTGGTTCAAAAGTGTATCCAACCTTTAAATGAAAACTTTAATATCTGCGTTCACAACAATTTTTATTCTTCCTGCTATTCTACAATAAAATATTTTACCACAACCTTCAAAACTTTCCCCACACACATCATTTTTCAGTCATATTTTTACTTATAAAGATTAAAAAGTTGTGTTAATTTATACAAAAACTTTTTTTTAATATTTTACTATTTCCAGTGTTAAATGTATTTAAAACTCTATCCAAATTTGTTTCAGAATGCATTTAATTTGACTTGATTTCTTTGTAACTTTTTCTACATGCACAAAACTTTCTAAGTTTTTGGCATTTACAATATCATAATACAATACTACACTACTAGACAAAAATCCAGAAAAGGCAATGTGTAGATTTAGGTTACAAACGTAATAATGTGTAGATTTAGGTTACAATACATACTGTTAATACAATTGAAATGATTTACACTTAAATTATAAATATAAATAAACTAAATGTAAATCATATAATTATAACTATATATGCATAAAATAAAACAATTATTTGAAAATCATATCAAATAATTTGAATTTAGACACTAATTATATCATTTAAGGGAAAACTGGTTATTTTCATATATTTCAACAGTTTACCCTATTTTTTATGCTTACGAAGTAAATGTAACTTGTCATATATTTTTATAAACTCTAAAACAGCTTTAAGTGTTTAACTAATTTTTATTGCATAATTTTAATTTTTACTAAGTGGCTACCTTAAGTACACAAATTTAAAAAAAATTGTACAAAGTAAAAAAAAAAATTGAACTGCCTGTTTGCTATTGAACTAAAGCACATTAAAATTTTGAAAATTGTTTAAATAAGTGATATAGCGTAATTTAACCACTTTAAGGTAGAACAACTCAAAAAATATTTTAATTTTTTTTTTATCTATTTAAGTATTACTATAAAAAATTTCAGGTGATTATCTTTTTCTATTTATGTCTTATTTTTTCCAATTTTAGTTAAGCGTAACTTTATTGAATTGCTCAATCAAGCTGAATATTTCAGGATTGTGTTTTTTTCATAAAATCTAAGGTCAAATTTTGAAGCAAATCTGAGGTAGTATTCTGTGCTGTTTTTAAAAAACTAGGTGGTTTCATATGGAATCGCCCTATATACATATACAAACATATATATAAATACATACATACATACATACATACATACATACATACATACATACATACATACATACATACATACATACATACATACATACATACATACATACATACATACATACATATTTTCAGGTATAACACCTGATAATATATAAATATATAATAATATAACTATCATAATACCTTTAGACTGAGACCAGAAGCATCTTTCATAAGTAGGACTGATTTTTCATATTCATCCCTTAAGGTATTAATAACTTCTTCAAACTGCTTTTTATGTGCTTCACTACTCATTCCAGGAGCAGATGAAAATCGATCGGTAGTTTTTATACATTTTTCAAGAGCTACAAGTAATAAGCCAGCCTAAGGTTATGAAAAATAAAATCGTGAAATTATTTTTGTTCATAAAAATAAACCCTGATTAAAAATTTGCGAGTTACATGGTTACATGGTAATACATGGTTAACATATAAAATACTACAAAATACATAAATTGTATCCTCAATAAATTTAAAATCACTTAATTACCTTGGCAATACCAAGCTCTATTGTAACTACTCCACTACTAGGTATTTGGGATAATTGCAGAATGGTGTGCAAGTAAACTTGCTCATTATTTGTTGCACGGCAACCAATAATATGATTAGAAGTAACAACAATCTTTTCTTCTTTTTCAAAATAAGCACAAAGCTGTGGACTTGCTGATCTTGCTACAATATTAAATTGAAACAAAATTTACATGATATAAAAAATTAATATATTGTAAGAATGTATGCCAACAAAAAACATCTCTTTTATTCGCTTATTGTAAAGAATGACAATAATAAAAAATAAAATACTTTGGAAAAACAAAACAATTTTAAAAAACAGTTAATAAATTTTTTCTTAAATTAATGAGTTATTAAATATTGAAATGTAAAATACTTCAAACATAAATAAAAAAAATTTGAAATATAAATTTAAATTTAAGTTTTTCTTTTTTTTTAAATTTTATTAAATGGGAGAAAATAAAGAATTATAGAGCAAGATAACAGTTGACAGATTGACACAAAGCAATTGATAGAAAGTGATTGACAGAAAGAATGAAATTTCAAATAAAAAAATAAATAAGTATTTAAGTATTTGTAAGGCACCTGTTTGTAGCATGCTGAATAACTACATTAGGAAATCAGTTCAAAAAAAAAAATTTTTTTAAGCGTGGGAAAAAAAATTGATATGTATTTCTACAGTTAACAAAGTTTATAACATTTTAATTTTGAATTTCAGCCTTCCCAGGAAGCACGTGCAGCCGCATGCCTTGTTCAACCACGTTTAAAATAATTTTCTTAGACATACCGACCACGGCAGTTCGCAACTTTTAACTTATAAAGCATTTTAATAATTTGTGGCAAAAAACAAAATTTATTTACTGAGGAAGAAAAAACAACAACCGCTCTAAAATCATTTATTTTAGAGTGGTTGTTGTTTTTAGTTACCGAATTTTATAGAAATTGATGAAAAAAACATTGATGATGAAAATTATCTTTTATAACAATTTAACAACAATTTTGATATACAATTTATTCAGGATTTTTATCAGTCCGTTTAATTAAGAAACTAATTTGCTATGTACGCTTGAACTATAAGAAACTTTGGCAATTTTTTTTCTTACCTTTATTAGTTTTGATGTCTTTTCATTTTTAAAAATGTTTTTGCTATATTTAAGGTTTTTTCTTAATACTTATATAATAGGAAAATGAGAAAATAAATTGTTATTTATTTGTAAAATATATTATTTGATTATTCAATTTTGTAATGACGGAACAAATTAAATAAAATAATAACATGGTTTTATTTATAAATGTATTTACCGCATTTGATGCATGTCTGAAATTGTTTCTTTTATATTGCCCAATTTCCAATGCTAATATGCATTACTAGAGATAATGAACATAACGATTGCTTTGTTTGAAAAAATATTTAAAAACAATAAAAAAAAAGGTTTTAAATAGGCTCGTTAAAAATATTTTATAATTAAATATTAGTATTAATGACTTTTTATTTTTTAACATGAAAAACTTAAATAAAAAATTTTTTTTACAAATAAATAGGAATTAATTTTCTTGTTTTTCTGTGCATTGATAAAAACAGTATAGATTAGCAAAAACATTTAAAAAACAAATTTAAAAATTGTCCATTTTTAGCACAAATTATAAAATATACTGACTGAAAAAAGTTGTGAAAAAATTGTATATCAAAAAATGTTTTTATTTTCATTGTATTCTCATCTGGTTTTTTCCTTGACTTGTATCAATTTTGGTAGTGGAAAATTGTATCAATTTTGGTACTTGTATCAATTTTGGGCTTTTTTTAGACTTGTATCAATTTTAGACTTGTATCAATTTTGGACTTGTATCAATTGGACTTGTATCAATTTTGGTAGTGAAAAATGCCCTTAAAAAAAAAAATAGTAAAGTATTTAGGTATGTTATTTTTTTCACAAAATTTTATTTTTTTTAATTTTCAAATTTTTTTACTTTATTTTATTTAGATTTTCTATTTTGTAAAGTACCATTATTTTTCTTTGAGTATTACTGTTTTCTTCTTTGTAGTTTCTTTTAAGCTTTATTTTGCTGCAAATTCTTAAAACTTGGTCAAGTTGTCTAAAGAAGTTTTATTAAGCGCGTATGAACAAGACGTGCAACAACACGCGCTTACCGGAAAGGCTTGGTATATTATTTTCCATTAATCATAATAAAAATTCAGTAAATATTATGGTAATTACATAAAAAAATTATCTAAGTATTTTCATATAACTTAAACAAGAAACATCTAGTTTTGAAAGAATATTTATATACTTATATATTACAAATCAGTAAATACCTTTCTTGCAAAGTCACACATGTAACAAAAAAACAGTGATCATGGGCAATATTTGTAAAAAAGCTAAAAAGATACAACCTCAAAATGATGCGACAGTGATTCAAGCTTGGTAGATAGCAGGTCCAATACTCTATCTGCAAAGATAGCTTTTTAATACTTTTAATAACGTTCTTTTTCCTCTAGACTTTGTCTAGAAGATAAAGAGAATCATTAAAAGAACCAAAATATGACAAAAATATTTTATACAAGGATGAAAAAAAGATTTGTAGAGGAAAAGAATGGAATCAGAAGTAAGGAAATGGCAAGCACAATAAAGAGAGGGAACCTTAGCAGATGCTAACTTTGCAATCAACTTTATATACGGTTTCCATGAGATGTCAGTCATAAATAATAATCAAAGAAAACTTAAAGTAGCAAACGCAATAAGAGAGTTGAAATCAATAAAGAAATGTCAACAATATTGTGATAATTGTTTGCAGTAAATAACTTTTCAGAGCTTGCAGTAAATAAAAATTCAGGGCTGTTGCATAGAAGAGATCAAATCCAAGATTAACTGTTCTAAGTTGTCAAAAAGTGATTACATTTTGTCAAGAGAGCAGTATATAGTTGAGCCATCAGCTTAACTATAAGATTCATAAGACATCAACTCACTGTAAGATTGTTAGGAGGATTATTAATGCATCTAAGAAACAATACAGGACCAAAGAAAAAACTTTGCTGCAACTGTATAATGAACAATAGGACTCTAAGATTTTATTAGAAAATTGTAAATTAAATACACAAAAACCTTGCTAATAATAGGAAAAAGACTGATTGAATGATGGCTAGAGGGATCAAGATTTTATCCAGAGTTTTTTAAAATTGGAACCACACATACCATTTTCCAGCTGGCAGGAAAATAAGGTTCCGTCAAAAACTTATTAAATAGTTTAGAGGGAAACAGAGAGAGTTCTGGAGAAAAGTTTTTTTGAGAAAACGATAGGTATGTAGGGAGATATAGCTTTAGCAATGGTAATAATTTAGATGTCTAAAAATAGGGTTAACCTGTTTCTCTGGAATGTTAGAAAGAGAGCAGCCATTAGATTCAAGAGTCGAATTAGAGGAAAAGTTTGTTAATGACACTACTAAAGATTTACTGAAAGAAACGAAAGATCCAAGGACCATCACAACGAAAATCACAAAAAGAATCCCAGTCAGCTTTAGGGTAGTAGTAAATACTTTGATGAAAGGGTGAATCTGAAGAATTAGGAGATAAAAGATTTAAAGAGATCATTACATGGTCCAAGCCATCTAAAGCAGAATAAGGAGAAACTAAACACTAACTAAGGTCAGAGATGTGACACAAATTAAGGAATGAACATAAGGTTAAGGTTTGTTTTGAAAATAAAATTTTTAAAACAACCCTAATCACAAAGTTAACTATCTGAAGAAAAGATTGAGAAATATAAGAGATAAACGCATTACTAAAGAAAAAGAAAGTATCCAGTCTTAAAGTATCAGTTCTTAAAGTCTTGCAGTATAATTTTTTTACAGATTTAATAATAAAGTTTTATTTTTCTTTTAAATATATAAAAAGTTATTTTCTTATTACAGGCACAGCAGGTATAGTTGAGTCAAAATTCTATGGCAAGTATACCATCATCTATTTCATTAACTATTAGAACTAGTAAAACTTCAGTTTCAATAGTATATTAGTGGTAAGCAGTGTTTTTTTTAGGGTCAGTAGTGTTAGAGCTAAGCCATTCAGTATTATAAGCATTAAAGTCTCCAATAATAACAAAATTAGCTGATGGATAAAGAGAAAGGGCATAATCAATTTGATCAGGAAATGTCAAATGTCAAAAGGAGAGCAGTCTAAAAAAGAAGGAGAACAAAAAAGAACAAAAAGAAGGTGATTCAGTGAAAAGGTGCTAAATGGAAGCATATAAAAGAATCTTTAGGGGTTTAAATCTAATTTTAGGACAGATAGGTGAATTGATGCATAATTATATGCCCAGGCCAAGCATGTAACTTATAGAATTTTTGAAAATTAAAGTTGTCTTGATAAATAATCCAGAGTCATGTGCAGAATACACACCAAAAGAACTAACATAGTCACTATCCATGTACATCATGGCAATGTTAATAATCAGATATTTGGCACCTCATAATGCAATTAGTTTCAGAGAGTTTGAGAAAACTTATTACCAACTGACCACCGAACCATTAACCTGAGTTTTAGAGCTGTACTTTTATTAGAAGACAACAGAAATACTTGCATAGCCATTATTTAGGAGGGACAAGCAAAACCCAAGACTAGAGTCAAGAAGATCTAAAATTCATTATGTTAGGCAGGAAACAATATAACACAAGTTTATATCTATGCTAGCTTATTAGATGAAGGTGCGTAATGCTGGTCAAGAGAACTATTCTGCTTGCCACTGAGTAGAGAAACAAGTTAAGTGTGGTACTACCAGGGATATAGTGGGGATCGAACTTGAAACTTCTTTTTTTATAAAGCAAGCACTCACTACATCACTACCTCTTTAATATATATTTTGAATAATTACAATTAATAATATAAAATTATTTAAAAAATTTTAAACTATTAATCAAACCTTAAATTAATAACAAATTTAATTTATTGCAATGTTGTAAATATAAAAAAAAGATAAAAACCAGGTTGTGCACTTTAAATTTGGAAAAAAATTATTTTAACATCTTTTTGTGTTAAACAATCCGCTATCTATGGATTTTTTTAATGTTTTGAAACCAATTGTGACAGCTATTCTCTATATTAGCAAGGTGCTTTACGGTTAGGGTTAGGTTTATGCTATTTTTTATAACAATTGACTTAAGAACATTTGATTTTCAAATAAAAAACATTTAAAAATAATTAACAATGATTGGTGCCTTGTGCAGAACAATGATATCAATGACAATGTGGTTGGATACCTCAGTTGGTTGTGGTTGAAGAGCTCAGTTGGTTAGAGCATCAAACGAAAAGTTAAAACCCGGACTGTTGTACAATACGGATTCAAATGCTTCCGCCACCAACTCAGCGCTTGATTAGTACTTCTATACGCAAAAATGTTGGTCAATGACAGACACTACTTTGGATTAGTCTTAATGATTATTTGTGGCTGTTCCTATCATAAACCAACAATATCTTCGCATTAGCATATATATAGCCTTGTATAGAAATAACATTGTATAGAATAACATGAAAATTAAAATAAATAAAAAATATATATATCATATATCGAGGTAAATTAAGGGTTAAAAAGTTGAAACTTGAAAAAATATATCAAATAGAAGTGCTACTCAGTTCGAATTTTATATCAGTATATGTATTATGTTTACAAAATGTGAATTTAAAAAAATGTTATTAAATTTAATAAACTACTAAAAGTTTGTACAGTGTTCCACACATACTAAAATTTGTCAAACACAAAACACTAAAAATTATCATTTGTTGTTTCGAAGTTGGTTAAAATTATGATAAATGAAAATATCAACGTGCAACATAACTAACAATATCAATATCAACATGCAACAACATAAAAAAGAATCATTATAGTAATCACAACTATTTAGCAAAAAATTTTAAAGTTTAAAATTCAAAATTATACTTTTGTAAGAATAAACAGGAGAATCGCCAAAACTCAGTATTAGATCTCCTATTTAAACATATTTTTTTTACTAATGTTGATTCATTTTTATCAGAATATTACAAACTAAAAAATACTTTGAAGGTTCCCAGTCTTATTATTTACAAACTTTAATTTTTAAAAAACAATATATTTTTACTTAATTATTTTTGACAACTATGTTAACTTTTTTGCTTAAAATTTACAATACATTTATTATCCATAGTTTTAAAACTTTGCAAAGGAACAGCTATAAATAAGCTTATGACTAACTTAAAATCCTCTGCTATATTAGCCTCTGCTATAGAACATATTATATTATAAGCTATATTAGCTATATATTACCCTCTGCTATAGAACAAGTGAATTTAATTGTGTCATATTTTAATCAAAAACACTTTTAATTAACTACAAAAATTAATATATTAGAGAAGGCAGTAAAGATGTACTATTTTAGACTATAATGTAGTAGGATTATAACTATTCCTAAATATTTATAAAAATATCAGTTTCAGAAGTAACTCAGCCCCTGACAATTGACTTACTTTTACTTTTCTGAAAAACGCAAAAATCAAAAAAAGCAAATACCACCTCCATTACAACTGATGTTTTGATAAGATTTTTTTTTAATTCTAAAAACCTATAACAATTCTAATCTAAGCAACTGAAAGTTCGTTAAATGTTCATGATCAAATAGCACATTTGATTGTATATTATTAATAATTGGTTAAATTAATATTATTTATGCTGTGTCATAATAATAATAATAATGTGTAAACCTTTTTATGTTGTTTAAGATCTTTAATTTAAAAACAAAATACAATTTTCATCCAACAGTTAAAATGTTTACGACAAAAGTCTAATTGATCACTGTATAGTTTGACAATTCAGCTAAAACATAATTACTGTTTTCTTATTTATTTTTTTATTTTTTTGGACACTTTATACTTTAAATTAAACATTAATTATTTTTCTTTTTAATTGAAAATACTACCACATTTAGATCTTTTTTCTAACGAGAATGATCGACTAAGCTATGTCCAACATTTAACGATAACAAAGGGAAAAGAATTACGGACAAACCTTTATCATCGGTATTAAATGGAATACATGATTTCTTTCCAGAATGGATATCAATTATTTCAAATCCAATCTCTTCTGAAGTTGCTATAATACAATTTAAAGGCTGAGAATACTGAAAAGTTGATGGTAACTTTGAAAAGCTTATGTTGGTATCGGAAAATGCCATTTTCCTTCATCGCAAACGGATATTCGGACTGATTAGAAAAGTTCAATTCGCCCCTACAAAAAAAACAGGTTCGCAAAAAATTTAAAGTGAGGGCCCTTACCTCAAATTTGAATCTCGTGTTTTCCTATTGAAACATTTCTTAAATTTTTCATAATTGCCAAATATCATTCCCAATATATAGTATAAAAAATATTTTACTCTATAGTATATGGTATAATATTTTTCCAAAACATAAAACTGATTTTAAAAAGGGTTGATTACATTTTTTGTAAAGTTAGCCTTTGACAGTAAAGTTTAACTTTAAAGTTTAAAGAGTAAAACGTTTATTTATATCTTAAAAACGTTTCAAAAAGCGAATTTTTTTTTTTTTTTTTTTTTTTTTTTTTTTTGAAATAAACAAAAGATCCGAAATAATCCATATCGACTATTAGAGTTGCCAACCTGACAACAGTGAAAACAAGTTTGAAACATTAATGAGACTTTGTTTGGACAAATTTGTCTATACGATGATTCGCAAAGTTTGAATATAATATACTTTGTTCTACAATAACTTAAAAAGCCTACTATAACTTAAAAATCGTCTTCATGGGGAGGGGGGGATATCACCCCACAACAAACACATCGTACTCAGGTGGTTTAAGGCCAGTCTCCATAAATTTTAGATTTCTTTCGTTTATGTGCGGGTGACGTGTTTTTTTATTGTTCATATCTCGCGAGAGAATTTCAAAACGCTGATTTAAAATAACGACTTTTTGACTAAAATTAGACCATAGTTTCCTGTGCTATCTTAAATTCCCAACATTATGAATTAGTGTTATGGTCAGTATTTAATATCAGGGCCGACGACACGGGTTTTGAAGTGGTGGGGCACAATCATCAATATGTGAAAAAAGTCATCTATATTAAGATTTTTCTTAAAAAAACAAAAAGGTCCTCATGAAAAAAAGTAGGGGGCAGGCCCCCTGGTCCCCCCGGTGTCGTCGGCCCTGAATATGATGAATTCATAACATAATTCATTTTTTAATTTATTACTTTATTGATAAAAATTCAGTCATCGATATTATTCTATTTGGTTATACTAATCAGTGTCATATTAATGTTTTATATATAAAATACAATATCGTACAAAAAAGTACACAATATCGGTTACAAAATACTATCGGTAAATGGCCCGATCTTGTTTGTTGTGTTCATAAATGACCTGCTGGACAGAATACAAAATATAACCAGGCTCTATGCAGATGACACGAAAATAATGATTGATGTGAACTCAATAGAGAAAATAAACAGTCTTCAACGAGATATAAGCAGTGCTTGGGACTGGTTTAAAGAATGGTTAGTGAGATTCAATAAAATAAAATGCGAAACAATACACTATGGCAGTAAAAATCAAAAACACGAATATTCTATGGATACTTTTGTCCTAGAACAAACCAAAAATATAATACGTGAATAATACGCCTAAATCTTCAAAAAGATTTAGGCGTATTATTCTCGGCAAACATGAAATGGAGACAGCTAATTATATTTTGGAGCTCGAAGGTATGGGAATGATTAAAAACACATTTGTGGAACTAAATGTTCAGACTCTTAAAGCCTTATACGTGACGTTTGTTCGCCCATTAACTGAATTCGCGGTTCCAGTGTGGTGCCCTCAGCTTAAAGGAGAAATAGAAATGCTCGAAAAAGTTCAACACAGACGGCTACGAGAAAGACAACACAAACGGCTACGAGACTCAATTCGACTCTGGAAAAAATGAAATACGTGAAAAGACTGAAGATTCTTGGCCTCACCCCATTATATGAACGCAGAATTTGTGGAGATTTGATCCAGACTTATATGTTATTAAAGAAGATTGAAAATGTGGACTTTATAAACGGTTTCAAGCCAAATGATTTTCAATTATCGAAAGGAAACGGTGTCAGGTTTGAACACGAAAAAACAAAGTGCAACTTAAGACACTCATTCTTTACTAACAGAATAACAAAAGCATGGAATAAACTACCAAGAAAAGTGGTTAATGCAAAATCAGTGAACAGTTTTAAAGCACAATTAGACAATTGGCTCATTTTAAATTAAGTTAATACTGTCACGGCTGTCTAAGTGTGATATTAATACACACACTCGTCGTCTTCGGGCGGCTACAGCATCTACTACTACTACTACTACTACTACTACTACTACTACTACTACTACTACTACTACTACTACTACTACTGCTACTAATATTGTATTTTTTTTACAGGTGAAATATTGGGATAAATAAAAAATGAGTCACTACCCCAAGTGTCTGTATATAATCTGGAACTGTTATGGTATTCATTAGATTTTGTTGATTCAATTTTTTATTAAACACCGGTTTTGTATCTTATTTGCTTTTTGGGGTTTTTTTTTCCTTATTTTCCAATTTTTTATAAACAATATCAATAGGCTGAATCATTATTATTAATAAATGAATAAGATAGTTTCAATAACAATGAATTAATTAAAATAACTGAAGACCACAGGTATATATATATATATATATATATATATATATATATATATATATATATATATATATATATATATATATATATATATATATATATATATATATATCAGAAAAAACTTCACGGATCTTTAGTTTCTGAGGTAAGCTGCGATACGGCTGCCCATTTAAACCACAACCGGCAAAAAAAAAATTAAATGCCCTAACAAAAAAATAAGTCCGTTAAAATTTAATCACTAAGCGTCGTCACTAATCACTATTAATTATAAAAACTGGCTACCTCTATAGTAACATGATTTAATTCATTAGTCTTTGTGGACTGAAATAAATAAAAAAAATTATTATGAAAAAACATTTTTTGACTTTATTTATTAGTTTTTAACAAATTAATTTATTATTAATTTAATAATATATAATTCAGTAGTTTAATTTTTATCATAAACAATTCAAAAAATTATCAAAAGCTTGTGCTTTTTTAACTTTAAAAAAACCCTCTTAAAAAAGAAATATTGAAAAAAATTTATATGATATTACTTTAATCAGGAACCTAAATTGGTAAAAAAATATTTAAAAAGTTAAAATTGGAAAAAACTTTAAGAAATAAGTAAAATCGTCTTTTCGCATAGTGCAGCGAATGGCTGCCGATGAACCATCACCGGTGACTACTAGCACAGGTCATCGCGTTGGTTTGACAAGGTTCTAACTAAAACTTTTGCCAAAATTTTATTAGACTATTAAGTCATGACAAACAAAATAAACTAAAATTTACTGCGATATATTTAATATAATATATAATATATAATATATACTATACTGTTTATTTTATATTAGTATACATATAATATATACTAATATAAAATATACTGCGCTAGAGCGTATATATATCGCTTGTTTTACGCTATAGCGTAAAACAAGCAAACTGCTAATGTGCCAAAGTCTATCTGCAACTTTAGTAAACTAAAATTTGGTTTGACAAGGTTTTAACTCACCCTAACTGCATATTCTCTTGCCGGTTTTTACTAATTAATTATTATGGTAGAGAGTTTTATGCCCATCAAAAATCATATAAAAAAATAGGTCCGAAAATCAACATAAAGTGTTCTGATTTGACACCGATCTACAATTAAATACCACTAAAGCGATTATTTGACATTTAAATTAAGAATCTTTTCTGTAACGTTTTATAGCTTTACTCAAGGTGGTTCATACCCTTAAAAAAAATTTCAAAGAAAACTAGTTTTCTAAGTGCTTTTTTTAGTTAATCTATATGAATTAATTAACAATTTCCATCAAAATAAAAAATAAAAATATGTATATATATTTTTGCCTCATTATTTCATAGTTTTATGCTTAAAAATGACGAAATTTAAATCTGCGAAAAAGACTTGCTTTTTGAATCTAAAATTTATTATTATTAGGTAGACTATCATTATTAGGCAGTTACACAGGAGTTGAAGCAGAATTAGGATTTCCTACTTGTTTTATAAAAATTATTACAAAAATTGTAAAAAAAGGCAAATAATTAATAGGGTGTATACAAAAAAAGTTATAAAATCTACATTTTTGAAAAATTTACCTTAGTTCTGCTTTAACTCCTTCACAATACCACTACAATTATACCCTGAAAATTTCAAATCATTTGGACTGTCAGATCAAAGGTATTTAAAATATAAAACTGAAATTAACTAAAAAAAGAAAAGAGTTTAAAAGTAAAAAAAAAAAATAATAAAGTAATTAATAAACCCCAGCTACATAGACTGGTATAGTTTCACTTTGTTTTTCTTCATCCACAAGTTTAATGAATAAAAAGTGCCTTTTTAGTGCACTTTTTATTCATTAATGTCATCCTTTTATTGGCAAATGTAAAGACTGCAAATTAAACAACTCTAATTTCACGTGTCAAAAAAAGTTATTTTAAAGTATGGATTTAAATAAGTATTGCCTTGCTTTTTCAGCTTCAATAACACTTTTTCCAACTAGATTATGCAAGTTTTCAAGCTTGTATGTAATTTATTTCAATATTAAGGAGTCGTTGCTATGGGAGTGATTTTTATAGGGTTGCATAAAAATGAACTTTAGTCAACATGCTCAATATTTTTATAAACTCCAATAATATATTTGAATTTATTATAAAACTTTGCTTAACAAAAAAACAAAAAAAAATTTTTGGATTTTTGATTAAAAATAATGGTATGAACCACCTCAAACTGACATCTGTAACATTGCGAAACAAAAAGCACTGGTTTCGATTAGAATATAAATAACTATACAATTCAAAATAAAAGAGGATTTATGAACTAAAATTATTTTTTAATTTTAAAATAATGATTTTTTTGCATTAATAAATTTACAAACTTACCGCAGTCAATGTAAGTACAGTTTGCCGCGCCATTCCCTTTAAAAAATACTTTTTAATATGTTTAAACAGAAAGAAGAGGCGTTTTAATTTAACCAGAACTGCACAAGATTCTAAATGAAATATTGTCGAAGAAGCTTCTGGAGAATAATGTCAATAATGTTTATGTAGCACAGACTGAAAAAAATTA